AGTTGGAGTAGTTGCTCTTGTAATCCCCTTCGACTTAATTACAGAGATGTAGACCTATATACAAGGTATACTACATCTACTGTTAATCAGTCCAAAAACATCCTCGAGAGTTAAGAGTTCAAACTTGTAAAGCAATTCATTCAAGCAGTCACGCTCACATTTACATAACACCGAACTAGTTTTCTATATGTTAGCCAGGTTAATAATAATTTGTTTTCATCCTTATATGAGGAATAACGACTGAAATCGAGGCTACATTAGTTTTATCACAATCACGAGTTGGTTCACCGATTCGATACGTATATGTTTTTGCAATCTTAGAACTTTAGATACCAAAAAAGTCGTCTAGTCTGTAATTTTACTGATTGTAAAATGTTGACTAAGTGTAGATTCGCATGATGGGTAATTATAAATAAGAAGATGTGCATGTATAGCAAGAGACGCTTAGAATATTGACGCACACTTTTGAAGTTCATGTGCAATTCCCTCAGATTGTGTTTTGTTTGTTACTTTGATTTGTATCTTCTTGGTGGATTTGTGTGAGATTTCAACAACGGTAAACTACTGATAAACCTATTTACAACTGAGACAGACATCCACGCTACCTAAACTATTTTGAAGTTCTCAGATATATCAGTTTAGGACAGTTGATAGTTTCTGGCATACCGGTAGGATAAAATGATCATATGGTTCTTGATCCTTTTTGTATATATGTAATGTTTTTTTATTTTTATTTGCTCTGTTAGCTTTTACATAGAAGGTGGCAGTAGGTACTTTCATTTTAAGTGTTAATCTTTCTATATCTCAGATGGAAGTCTGTACACTAGTTAACGAACGATGGAACTGAACATCGACATTGTTCCTCATACTAAGATGTTTCAAACTGTGTAAGTCTTGGCAATGTTTATTACCAGACATATCCAATGACTATCTTTTGATGAACCAATCATTCTTTTTCGGGTATCATTCTTTAGTGGAAGATTACATAGAAGATGTTGTGACCTAACGTAAACTTATACATTGACAGGAATCTTCTAATTTTGGGGAACCAACTACCATCGTGCATATTTTTCAATAAACCTGTGGTTCTTGTTTATCTTTTTCGATTAAACTAGTTGTTTTACATATATTGTCAAACATGCCGTGAACAATTTTGTTAAAATACGGCCCTCAAATTGAATAACTCAGGGTAGGACGTTAACAGTCGAATACGCTACCGTGGCAGCTAGACCGGCAACGTGTGTATTAAGTTTTTGATTGATTTACAAATAATTTTACCTCAATAAAAAGAGATATTATTTGTCAAGATGCACATCTAGTGCAGGAACACTATATAATACGTTTAATATTATTAAAAAATTTTCCGAAAAGTTGCAATTTTCTTATACATATATGTATATTAAAAAATCGGTTACAAAGTAACATATAAGTATATTATGTTGATTGGTATATCATTTTCATTTTCCAGTGATGTTAATCCCAGTTCAAAAACTTACTTGAATTAAATTTATTGTAACCAAAAAAAGACAAAATTCTAGATGAAAGTTTAGTAGGTCTTTATTAATGTAGTATTACCATCATTAAATATGTCTTAGAGCTTTCGATTAATAATGTGACCGCTTTATAAATTTAACCTCGCGACATTTACCAACTTTAGCGGATTATTTATTTCTAAACTTTTTCCAGTTCAATGGCAGAGAACAGTTTTAAATTAAAAAAAAAATACGTTGGATAAATAAGAGGCAACAGTTTGTTTCAAAACTCTTATAAATCTATTTTGAATTTTCAAACCAAATTAAGACTAAGCACATGGACAGATAGAGGGACCGACAGACAGTGTGATTCATATTCAAATCAATTTGTCTGCGTGGGTATGAGAAACCTGGGGAAATCACACGATAAACACAAAAACATATTTACTTTAGATTTTTTCTTAACTTGCATTCAATAGATAAAATATTTTCGAGAAAAAGGGTGTTTAAAACTTAACAATTGAATATAAATTAGGGGTATTATTTTTGGTGAACAATAACCTTTTTGGAACATGGTTCAAACAATTTGCTTTCTGGAAATAATGTTATAAACCGAGGGTTTACTACTTTGTTTGTCTTGGTGTTCACAAATAATTGTAAAATTTTAATGATTTGCCGTAATATCGAGTTTTAAGAAAAATTAATATTTACCACTGAATTAAACACATTTATGCAAAAGTTATCTCTACAGATTTGTTTTCTTCTTTAATATAACTTATATAAATTTTATTATAAAATGTGTAAGCAAGTGCATTTCTATGAAATAAGAATAAATTCTCAGTTAACAAATATCTCCTCCACCCAACAACAACAACTCATTCAATACCGACTTATCAAACAAGCAACAAATCCAAATCGTCAGTCCCAGTAGATACTCAGTTTAACAACCAAATGTAAATTGGAAACCCGTGCTGAAGAAAGGTAATGGAAATCATGAATAATCATAGTTCTGTTCTATGTTTCTTTTGAATTTCAACCAAAGATGAAGAACTGGAACTTCCTCCACTGTATCTGATACCTAGTTGAATTACATAAGTGTCCTTACAAACAATATTAGGTTTGCTGTATCTTCCTAGTGCTAGCAAAACCTCTTTCTAATTCATTAACATCAGTTCTTGTAAAATGTCCTACTCTAGGGGCGGCATGATTTAGATGTGAATACTTCAAAATTCCAAAGATCTGTTAGCTTACATATAATCTAAATCTTTTTCCTCTTGCAATAGTTTTAAAACATTTGACTTTTCTATCCTGTATACAAGTATTCCCCATTCCAAACCCCCCAAAAAAAAACAATTTGAAAGAATTTGTCCTGCTTTATTTCATAAAAAAGAATGGCCAACGTAGGTACAATTATCTTTTCTTAGGGAGGGATAAATCGTTCTTTGTAAAAATTCTCTCGGATTCAAAAAAAATATGTCTGAAACTGACATTATCAAGATGCTTGATTTCTTGGTTGACAACATATTTGTTGCGTTTGGAGTACGTGTTTTTCAACAACCAATCGGCATTTCCGTGGAAACCAACTGTGCTCCTCTTCTTGCCGACTTGTTCCTTCATTCATGTGAGGCTGACTTCATACATGAGCTTCTTGTGAAGAATGAAAAGAACCTAGCATTATCCTTTAACTTCACGTTCCGCTTTATAGATGATGTTCTTTCACTAAATAGTTCAAAATTATTTGGTAACTATGTTGAACGCATCTATCCGATCGCACTTGAAATAAAGGAAACAACAGATACAATTATGTCTGTCTCATTTCTTGACTTACATCTAGACATGGATAATGATGGTCGGTAGAGAACAAAACTTTACGACAAAAGAGATGATTTGAGCTTCCCAATTTTGAACTTTCCATTTTTATGTAGAAACATTCCAGCATCGCCTACATATGTAATACATATCTCTCATTTGATACGATATTCCAGAGCATGTATTTCCTTTTATGATTTCCTTGATAGAGGGTTGCTACTGACAAGGAAGCTATTAAACCAAGAGTTCCAAGTGGAGAAATTGAAATCATCCCGTCGTAAATTTATCTGACGCCAACACGAGTTGGTTAAACGTTATGGAATATTTGTTTCACAGATGCCGCCGGATATGTTCCGATTGACATAACCACAATCCCGTCCTCTTCCTCCAATGTGACCTACAGGATTATACTTATTACCGCGTTTGTACTTACATGAGCAACGCGACGGGTGTCGCTAAAGGAGCAGGACCTGCTTACTCTTCCGGAGCACAAAAGGAAAATTTTTGTAAAAGTAAATGCACGACGAGGACGACAGCACCAGGTGACGAGACTAGCTCATTCATCCATTTCGGCCAGGTGAGCTAAATATGCTAGGAAATTGCATATTGATTGAGGGTTGAAAATTTGTTAAAAAAAACGTATTTACAAAATGCTTCAACTCGAGCGAGTTGTCCGGTTTTTAGGGCAAAATTCGCTGTGGCAAAATCCATTTAAACCTAACATGTAAATTGGATTAATGGATATATATTGAATTTTGCTGAAAAACGAAATACTAACAATTTTATGTCAAGTCATTTAACGAGTGGGATTCGACAACCGAAGTAAAACAAGTATGATCAAGATAACAATTGAATGCGGTCATCAATTAAAACCTCTCTACCAGAAATCTCATGAGAAAGTCTCACGTAATACAATAGATCAAATAGTGATGTTCCCGAACTTATATACTAAAATCGTATAATAAATCTATTTTGATTTTTAGTAGGTTTTTTTTATATTTAAAAGTTGCTTTGAAGTCATATATATAGAAATATAAATGATTCCATAGATTTAGTATATATACATATAAAAATGTAAATGATTTTTTAGATCAAAAAAAAATTATGAAGTAGGACTGTTAACAGGTTTGTCCAGAAAAAAATTCGAAGACGGTATGGTCATTTATGAACAATATGCCTATAAGGAGTCACTGACGTGACCTCGGATTTATAAGAGATGCAATACTTCAAGTTTACAACGTAAGTGGTTCAACATTGACACTATGAAAAGAAAGTTGTATACATGCCTTCATAGATGTGTAATAACCCAACTTACATGACTTACTGTTCAATGTAACCTTATTTATTTTATCGGAAGCCATTTCATGTATTTTTTTTCTCTGGAACGCTTCAAACCAATGTTTGTAAAGTCAAATACAATCAGTTAATTCATTGGAAATATTATGGAAGTCGGTGAACCGAAATTCAAGGTCAGGCCCTGTATATTCATAAGTAACCTGAGAAGAAGTTGTATATTGATATTTTCACAATTTTTATCCTCCTTGACCCGAACATGTTCACCTTTCTAGTCGTTTCATTGCATGATTGTAAATTATTTTACAACAAAAGAAACAAACTTATAATGGCAACCTTGTAATGTAACTTGGTCGTTTTAGTAGATACTTAATGGTAAATAGTATACGGCCTATAAAAAAACACGCATTAATTAATTTAGCTGCTTCACTATAAATATTTATTATCAATCCATTGAAGTAGTTTAATTAATACGTTCAATTAAAGATGTTTCATTTAAACGAAAGTCTAAAAATTGTTATTCCAAAGCTCTTGGTCTTTACATGTGGTGTATATCTTTCTTCCATGAATGCCCTGAATAGGACGGTTGTTGAACTTAATAAGATGATGTCCATTATCGTCACAAAGGGCTCTGAACTTGTCCAGCTGAAAAGATATAAAGTTTCTAGTTCACCTTGTTTTTTTTTATCAAGGAACGTAAGGGCAGATTGAACACGTTGACTTAAAATAAAAACTGAACTTCTGAAACACAAATCCTTAAGGTCAAGGCCTCGCTGTGACTTTTAGATGAAGAACAGTAACTAAAGCACTGACTATTTTCCTCGGGGTTTGTGCTGAATTAATACATCCCTTTTCCATTGGTATATATTAACAGCTTTGAACTAAATTAGAAAGGATTCCCTTTTTTTTATTATGTTTACCACAAAAATAAGCATTCATCATATTCAGCTACCATCAAATGGGAAGAGGAAGATACTGCTTGTTGTATTTTTTATTTTTTTTTTGCGATTTCTGCCGCTAAACTGCTTATATTTCGACATATACTATATAAACTTTCCTTAAACCGGTACTTATATACATTTAAAATTTGTGAAAAAATACGAGTTTTGATAAAGGTTTTTTTCAGATCTTAATCATTTTTTTAATGATAATTCAATGTAAATCAATATATTATGTTTTTTTTTATTTGGAAAAATTACTGACATGTTAATAAAGACAAGAAAGATTTATAATCGTATGTTGAACTAAAAGAAATTCTTTTGAATTTCACTTTTTCTTTAAATAAAAATACCCAACAAATCATTAGTGTTCATAAAATTTGGAATTATGAAATTAACCAATAGTTTTGTAATGTGTTTACCCTCAAGCTAAAAAAGAAAATCGGTCAAAACGCGAATTAGTTCTGTGGAATTTCCGTTTTTTGTAGTTTTCGTATTTACAAAACACACACACACACACACACAGACCAAGGCACCCATAAACCAATATCCTTCAATAATATTTTGGTACGTTTTCACATTTTGTCTTTATATACCTATTCTATTATTTCGACTAATAAATTTGTGTTTTAGTTCAAACCGAGCTAAATTTCAATAAAATGGACTAGTCTTTCTGAAGATACTAGTTTTCCGGAATCTTATTTCAGAATTGTATTTATGTAAGGTGGAAACAATATGAATATATTTGACTATTTTTTATCAGTTATCTCAATCGAATTTGATTAATTGTCAAAAAAATTCAAAAGGCCGAATTCATAAATGTGGAGGCCTCGTGGCGTTGGTAGTACAAATAGAGTAGGGATAAATAGAAAATGTTTAAAACTGACATTTTGCTACCGATTTAAAACTTTTTGAAACATTAGTTCAGATTCTAAAAAATTTAAAGACATTTTTCCAGTTGCAGTAAAATTGGTTTATAGATCTGATTTTTACATGTAATTTTCACATCATGTTTGAAGCTTTCGATTACCTTGCATTCCAAATATGTCAATAGAATACAGTCGGTTGTTCCTTGTGTGTTTAAAGTATTCCATTTGTTTTAGTACAGAGTGAAAATTCCAAAAACATTGGGATAATACAACATAATTTTTTTTTATCAACATTGCGGAATTTACATTTTAAAGAGTGGGCGATATGTTAATATGCATTTAAATTATTAAAATAAAGAATAAATTAAAACTATTAATCTTTAAAATCGGTGAAGAAAAAACTGACATTTATATTACTAAATTACTCTTTAAAGTTTTATCTTTGTAAAGTGTTAAAACACACCTGTCTCTCTGAAATTGTTTGCGTTTGTGACAGAATTGTCCATGTTACACTTTCGAAACAACCAGGTGTGGTGAGACTCCCGTCGTATCTGTAGAAACATCGGGTGTTTTTCGGCAGAAGTTTTGAAAGAGACAAGGAATCGATACTGCATTCAGAATCTAAAAATAAAAAAGAATCAAATATATGAATTTTAAAATACAAATTTTAATGATCTTATGGTGTTTTTTTTTTTTGTTAAACCAGTGCTAATTTCTGTTAACTTCCCACAAACGATATTATATGTGTGATAGGAATCCCAAAGGATGACTGGGGTATATAAATATGGTCGTCTGGACTTTTCCGATCCGACAGTAAAACCCATTCTAAAGACGTCCGTTTAGCTGAGCAGGTTGTAAAAATACGTATCCACGTCCGGTTGGAATTGGGACGTTTACTAAGATGACTAGAAGGTAGAGTGAAACGCTTTCTGCACGAAAAAGAACCCTTGCTTCAAATCTTTGAGTAGTCCATATGTCAACTGTTGCAAGTCAGAATTCTGTTCCTATTCTACATACCCACATTTTATAGTAGAACTCGAAATGTACCTCCCTAAATGCGGGTTGTCCTGCTTTGTTAGAACGTATCTTTTGGATTTGTTGTTTATCTGATTTCGTTCTGAGTGTGAATCAGATACTTGCCACTGGACGTTTGTCAAACAGCGACCAACAATCAGTCAATGCTATAACGGTTATATATTTTGAAATGTATATTTTACGATGCAAAAAAAAAACATAAGAAAAGGTTACACGGAATAAATAATCGTATACAAAGTGGAAAACTTTTAACTTCGATTTTAGAAGAAATAAAAACAATACTGTTTGGAGTACAAAAATTGTAAATGTTTCAAAAATATAAACCGACCAAAACAAATATCTGTAACAGATATGTGGTTTACTTTAAACGTGATGTAACTGAAAAAAGTATTATAGTCTATACATAGATACTCGTACTACGGAAGCCGATAAGTGCCATTCAAAAAAAAATTTTATGTCGTAATTACGACATAACATGTCGTAATAACGACATCGCTATGTCGTAATTTCGACATAACATGTCGTAATAACGACATCGCTATGTCGTAATTTCGACATAACATGTCGTTATAACGACATCGCTATGTCGTAATTTCGACATAACAAGTCGTAATTACGACATCACTTTGTTGTAATTACGACATAGCTATGTCGTAATAACGACATCGCTATATATATAAAAGAATATGTATTATGATTGCCAAGAGACTAAATGACACAGAAATTAACAAATATAGGTCATCATAATGCCCTCAATAATGAGAAAAGCCCCCGCATAGTCAGCTATAAAAGAGGGACGAAAGATACAAGAGGGAGAGTCCCCGAAATGACAGCTGTTTAACAATTTAATTCAAACGAGTGAAAATAACGGTTTTAATAATGTACAAACAAAGACCGAAACACGAATATGTAACACAGCAACACATGACAACCACTGAATTACAGACTCCTGACCGCTATCTGATAATAACGACAACCTTATAGTTTAACTTTTCACTTTTTGAAGCGATAGGAATTTCAAAATGGTCGCCAGTAAAGGCAAAGTTCGTAGCGTAAACAAATTCATCTTTTTTCTTTGAGAATATTGAACACTTTATGCAATCAAGATTAATTAAAGTTATTCACTAGCACCTCAGACTTGCACATACTAGAACTTGATTTATAATCAAGTCAAATGAGACCCAGTTGAATAGGGGAGCAATTCAAGCTCCATGGAGCCTCTAATTATGTTTGGCATTGCAGGTTCTGAATAAGATGAATTTTAAGCTTTTCCCAATAAAGACTATGTTAAACTTTGGACTCATAGTGCTCAGACCCACGGATCTCTGTACCTTCATTTGTACACACTTGAATCTTAATGTACTACTGAGGCTTGATGCAAATTATAACTGCATTGCTATTGTTGGTTCTTAATGAGATTCTTCAAGCGTCCTCCCCATTGAAGCCCTATTAAAACTCTGTACCCCAAGTTCTTTTAACCACTGTTCCCCAGGACAACTATTCCTACAAACTTAGAGGGAGGGTTGGGATCCCGCTAACATGTTTAACCCCCCACATTCTTAATGTATGTGTCTGTCCCCAAGTCTTTAATTTACATATTTGTTTTTCGTTTATTTTTGTACATAAAATAGGCCGCTAGTTTTTCTCGTTTGAATTGTATTACATTTGTCATTTCGGGGCCTTTTATAGCTGACTATGCGGTATGGGCTGTGATCATTGTTGAAGGCCGTACGGTGACCTATAATTGTTAATTTCTGTGTCATTTGGTTTCTTTTAGAGAGTTGCGTTTTTGAACAAACCAGCGTATCCCAAATCCTTGATAACCTCTGTAGGTCCCAAATAAGACGAAAAAACATCAAAATTGGAGAGAAAGCTGAAAATAAATGGTTTCTAACCTCAGGGATATTAACCCTTGGCATGCTGAATTGTTATCAGAAATTGTCTAAATTTCGAGTATTTGTAAAAATATGCAAATGATATGCAAATGAGCTGTACCCTGATGCTGATGCATGCTGATTGTATTAAATCTAAGATAGCCAAGGGTTAATATCCCTGAGGTTAGAAACCATTTTTTCCAGTTTTCTCTCCAATTTTGATGTTTTTTCGTCTTATTTGGGACCTACAGAGGTTATCAAGGCCTTGGGATACGCTGGTTTGTTCAAAAACGCAACTCTCAACATTAAACCAAATGACACAGAAATTTACAATTAAAGTCACCGTACGGCCTTCAACAATGACCACAGCCCATACCGCATAGTCAGCTATAAAAGGCCCCGAAATGACAAATGTAATACAATTCAAACGAGAAAAACTAGCGGCCTATTTTATGTACAAAAATTAACGAAAAACAAATATGTAAATTAAAGACTTGGGACATACACATACATAAAGAATGTGGCGGGGTTAAACATGTTAGCGGGATCCTAACCCTCCCCTTAAGTTTGTAGGAATAGTTGTCCTGGGGAACAGTGGTTAAAAGAACTTGGGGTACAAAGTTTTAATAGGGCTTCAATGGGGAGGACGCTAGAAGAATCTCATTAAGAACCAACAATAGCAATGCAGTAACCATTTGCATCAAGCCTCAGTAGTTATTGTACATTAAGATTCAAGTGTTTACAAATGAAGGTACAGAGATCCGTGGGTCTGAGCACTATAAGTCCAAAGTTTAACATAGTCTTTATTGGGAAAAGCTTAAAATTCATCTTATTCAGAACCTGCAATGGAAATGTAGGACTTCATAATTTACACAAATCTGTACATGCCAAACATAATTAGAGGCTCCAAGGAGCTTGAATTGCTCCCCTATTCAACTGGGTCTCATTTGACTTGATTATAAATAAAGTTCTAGTATGTGCAAGTCTGAGGTGCAAGTGAATAACTTTAATTATAAGCTTGATTGCATATAGTGTTCATTATTCTAAAAAAAAAAAGATGAATTTGTTTCCGCTACAAACTTTGCCTTTACTGACAACCATTTTGAAATGCCTATCGCATCAAAAAGTGAAAAGTTAAACTATAAGGTTGCCGTTATTATCACATAGCGGTCAGGAGTCTGTAATTCAGTGGTTGTCATTTGTTGCTGTGTTACATATTCGTTTTTCGGTCTTTGTTTGTACATTATTAAAACCGTTATTTTCACTCGTTTGAATTAAATTATTAAACAGCTGTCATGTCGGGGACTCTCCCTCTGGTATCTTTCGTCCCTCTTTTATAGCTGACTATGCGGGAGCTTTTCTCATTATTGAGGGCATTATGATGATTACGACATATTTTTTTTTAATGGCCCTTATCGGCTTCCGTAATACTCTGTAAGATATTACAGATTATATTGTGTAAGACAATGTAATACAATACTGATGACATCGTGTACATATCGTGTAAGCTGTCAAATGATATTGGTCTGGTATATTAAGGTGTCATATTCAAATGAATGAGAACTGATATCTGGACACAACACATCATCTAAAACACTGAAAGGTGATTACATGTATGTTACATTGCATCTTATCTATCCGAGGTCACGTCAGGATCGAGGATAGATTAGAAATGCAATTTCATCCATTTCCATAGAAGTAATAAATAATCCAAATTATCTTTTCTCTGATTAATATAAAAAATCTAAATACAAAAAGGAATTTGTTATGATAAGACAGGGAAAGTATCATTACCTAAAATGCAATCAGTTTACTTTGTATTAAAAATACAAGACATTGTCATTTGCTTTTTTAAATCTAAACAGAAGGATTTTAACACGTGTGTTAGTTTATCTCTGAAGTTAAAAAACATAAGAAAATAAAATAAAAAACTGAGTATTCTAGAAATTTATGATTCTTAAATTACGGAAAACAGATTTCATGTCCGTGCATTAAAGGCACTTTTATTAAAACAAAACTTTAAAGATACATGAAAAGCTTTCTCGTTTGTATCTATATTATGCTATCAAATGCATCTTTTTTTAAACTGCATTCCTGTGATTGAATCCCAACTGTTTTCACTAATCTTTCAGATGGTATCTCATTTTTCTTTACTAGAAGTATTAGACACAAAATTGAGGGCGTCAACACGATTTGGTCGATCTTATTTACACCAAGACATTATATTTTATGCAAAGGAATAGATTTCAATTGCTTAGGATAGGGATCCTTCAGCAATTTCACATAATGTTATGTTAAAAGCATGATACATGTTAATGCAGAATATGCAGTTACATTAATGACATCTTGGTTTAAGGATTAGATGTAGTCTTCTCATATCTAAGAGGCTTCAGCCATAAATATATTAGATGACTACATCTGATTTACATAGAAGTTATAAATAATTATTTCATCAGTTTTCTTGTTCTAAAAAGAACAATTAGTTTTGATAAACCAGGAATCGTGTCATTATCTAAAATTTTCCAGATGCAGCAACACTTTCAGAAGATGTTTATAGTTATGGATTTGGAATGAAATCTTAATTGTGTCTATTTTACGTCATCAAATTGATACTTTATTACTTCTTTTATACGGCAATATGAATCTCTGTACTATCTTGTCTTTTTTTAGATTCAACTGCCAAAACCTAAACTTTTTGCTGATAATTTATAACACCTCTATTTTAAATTAAATTAAGCTATTCCTTTTCATTTGTTTTATAAGTATTATAAGTAAACTGTTTGTATCACAATATGAATTACTATTCTATCAGCTCTTATTTCTGGTTTAATTGCCAAACCCTGTATTTTTTGCTAACAAATGAAACACTTTTATGCAAAATGCATATACAGTAAGGAGATGTGGTATGATTGCAAATGACACAATAATCTACCATGGTCCAAATGAAGAAGATTAAAGGGACTCTATGTCACCGTAGGGTCATCAATTAGCAAAAGCCGAACCTTGTAGTCAGTAATTAATGGCCCAAACATGACAAAACGTGAAACAATTCAAACGAAAAAAAATCGACCTAATTTATGACAAAACAATAAACCAAATATAGATATGACAGACAGCAACCAACGACAAGAATAGGTATTTCCGCCTGCAATAGTTATGCTCTGTGCTTATATAACATGAGTCCTCATTATATTTGTCAATATTTTTATACCTAGCGTAGGTCAGGCGAAAAATGTAGCAGTCAATTGTTAAAATGATTACAGAGTATGATATGAAAGAGTTATTTCGATTCTTATAGGAAAATTCAGAGCTATTTTTCTGACAAAAAACACAAGTTCGAAGGGCAGTAATTTGATATGATGAAGCAAACGCGTTAAATTAAAAAGAAATCACGATAAAAAGTGTTTAAAACATGGTTTCCTTTTTTTTTTTTTTTTTATTCTATTGAATTCCAAAGCGAGCAATTCCCGCAAAGTAAGATCTCAGGCATCAGGCGTCTTGTGAAACATAAAAGAGTTTTCAAATTAAAATGTAAAGACAGGCACGGGTACCCAATGTTTTGTTGGAAAAAGAACACGGCTTTCTTTGCGAAGCGAAATAAGAGCGCTTGAAAAATAAAGGGATCTAGAGGGCAACAGTCAGTCTTCAACAATGTCCACGTGTCTATACAATATATCTGGTTCTAAATAGTCAAAGTACATAAAGGTTGGGTATAAATACAACAGAAACAATCAAAGATCTGAGATAAACAAATCAAATCAAATCATTTTATTCCTAATTAAAGGGTCCTTAAGGGCATATCAATTACAAACAAGAAAATAACAAAAAGACAAACATGTATACATTAATTTTAGACAAAATCATTCTTTAAACATTATTTTATCATTTATATAATATGTACATAGAAGAACAGTTTGTGAGAGAGCCAGCTGGGTGAAAGAAAGATAACTCCAATCTATATAAAGTCACTAAAAAAACCTGCAGTTAGGTGTGTCAATTTGGTAAATTTATTTAAACACATCCATCATCCATGTAATTGTCAGGTTCGAATTGCTCAGTCTTTTAGTTTTGTCTATGTTTTTGTTAACATTGTTAGGACTGTTAGTGTTTTCATCGTGGTTATTTGGATGCCCCAATGGTATAATTCATACTGCAGAAAACCTTAACAAATAATTAAGGCTGTTCTGATATTCCTGTTTTCAGTTTCACAAGTTTTCAAGTGTATGTTTGGCAATGCTGCTTTATAAAGCTTAAACAGCTTCAACCATCGTTTAGTAAAATACAAGTCTGATACTATTGATCACCAGTTTTAATTTACCAAGTACTTACAACGTACATTTTGATTTATTCATGCATGTTAATTTTGATGAATTATTTTGTTTTACAAAAAACTACGGTTGCATTTCTATTTGCAGTAAGAACCATTCAGGAATGAGATCAACACGATTTGATTAGTTTCTTTTTACATTTTGGTACGTTTCAAATATATGTATACTTCTTCAGTTTTGTTAACAAATTCTTAAAATGAGCATTGACATTTCATTTAATTTTACTTTGATTAAAATTGAAAGTACAGAGATGACAAGACATCTGAATACATATTTTGTAACAATACACAATAAATGTAATAAAAAGACAACGAAAAAGAAAGTAAAATAAACCAGAAATGACCGATTTTGAACAGAAACAGGGGTAAGTAAAGTATTAAATATGAACACTCTACTTTAACATAAACATAGGGTATAACCATTATGAAAAGGGGTTTAGAATTACACTAATACCACAAGAAGACTGCAAAGAGCTTAATATCTAAACCCCCATTTATAAGATAATCTCACAAAAAGTATCATCATTTTCTATAACTTAGCGGTCTTCGTAAATAATTTTGTTTCTCCATTCTCCAGATAGTTAAATAAAACAAGACTAAACCTAGTATTAACTTCATGAGAAATGTTGAAAGAAATGTGTTGCTTGAATCCTATTAGTTTATCTATTTCTCTCAGGTCAGACGTCGCGTCGTCCCCAAGGGTAACTTGGGAATAGAAATATGGTCAATTTTGGTCTTCTTCCAACAGGCAGTAAAACCTTTGGCTGTAAGGTATGTATTGATTTGCAGCCAGGTTAGGTCAGTTAAATCCGATGCCTCGTGTAGAGAAAGTGCCATGCACGTTAAGAACACATGCAACAACTCTTTGAGGAGTCCGTAGGTGGCCTGTTGCAAGAAAACATTTCTGGCCTTATTCAATGCATCCTCATTTTTCTGTTTTATTTCAAATTTTCCCATCCGTTATCCAGATCGACCTCTATTACAGGACCTACTTATATTTATTAGTTTGGTTTTTTTTATTTGATATATACATACCTTTGGATTTTACTTTTTCTAAACCTTCAATAAGCGGTCTCAAGTCTTCGTTGTCTTCTTCTGTTGTCTGCAATTATTAAAATATAATTATCTTTAAATGTACCTCATTTTCATACCAAAATTAATGAAATAGTATCTTCTGTACCTCATATAGGTATCTAATTGTTTTGGTACTTTCCTATCTTGGTGTTCACATTTTCTCCCTATCTATTATAGTTTTAAGCTAATTGTAAAATCTCAAAATTTAGCTAAAAAAATTCTTTTTTGGGCAATAACCGCTTAAGAAAATTGATTCACAATTTCAGTAATGTTAACCCATCGGTAAATCTTATCTTTAATTAGATATAGGAAGATGTGGTATGAGTGCCAATGAGACAACTCTCCATCTAAGTAATAATTTATAAAAGTAAATCATTATAGGTCAAGGTACGGCCTTCAACACGAAGCCTTGGCTCACACCGAACAGCAACCTATAAAGGGCCCCAAAAATTACTAGTGTAAAACCATTCAAACGGGAAAACCAACGGTCTAATCTATATAAAAACGAGAAACGAGAAACACGTATGAACTACATAAACAGACGACAACTACTGTACATCAGATTCCTGACTTAGGACAGGTGCAAACATTTGCAGCGGGATAAAACGTTTTAATGGTACCAAACCTTCTCCCTTTTCTGAAATAATAGTATAACATCACAACATAGAAAGACACACTATAAAATATCAATTGGAAGGCTTAACTCAAATTAACACACAATGAAAGAATAAATTTGATCTGTGATACCAGAATGCAAATACATAGTTAATAAAAAAAATATAAGGAATGAACAAAAGTAAATAAACAGGTTTAAACAAAGTTAAAGTATGATACCACTGTGAAATTTTAAACAATTTATAGAAAATTATTTAAGCTCATTTAAGCTCATTTAAGCTGTATATTGCCTCTCTTCACCTATTCAATTTTTCAAAAACGGCAAACAAATTAATGACAATTTCAGTTATTTCAACGTATGTTAACTCTGTTTTTCTGAAAGAATATGATCGTATATGGCTGATCTATTTCCTCTAACATTTTCTTCAAGAAAAAAACAGCCAAATAACAATCATAAACATTTTTTTTATTCCCCCGGTGTATTTATTTTTTATTGGAAATCTATACAATAGCCATTATAAAGTGACGTTTTACAACAATAGTAGAACCCAATCTATACGATGCCACTACAAAATGTAGTTTCTAAAAAAATAGATGTAGCATACCCCATTTTTACAATGCCATAGAAAATGTAGTTTCTAAAACAATAACTTAACTCAGTCTATTCTATGCCTTTACAAAGTGAAGTTTCTTTTTTGTTTGTTTGTTTGTACAGTTTATTTATTTTTTTATGTATTTAATGACAATTTGTCGTACCTGGGACTTGCATGAATAACACAGTTTCTTGGTCCCAGGTTGTCTACTCCTTCATCTTTTTTAAATATCAAAGACTACTAGCTAATTCTATTTTTAAAGAAACCATTATTTTATTAAAATAATTATTGTATTTCGATACTATGCGAAATGTGTTCATTAAAAGAAAAGTTTTGTTTTATGGAGTATAACAGGAGTGATGTATAGGAGAGATATTGACATTGACAGGACACGTGCTTTAAACACTTTAGAATTTTCGATGAAGGATGTATGTGCACAGTTGTATTTGATAACTTTTAGATTTTGAGTAAAGGAAATACAGGGAAAATTTCCCTACCTATTATTTTGCGCAGAACGCTAACAATTTATCAACTTCTGTTTTTAATCAATCTTTTAATAATATACCAAATCATGGAGCTATGTGATTAAAGGTGATTAAAGGTGGACAACTCAAAAAAATTTAAATGCTAAATGATACATTTTACTTTGAACAGATCGTCTTGAATATGCATAACATGTTTCCACTGGTTGTTAAGTAAGCAAACATCTTATCAATTTCTCGCTAGGTGTAACTCAAAAACTTTCTTCTAGCTGTAACCTTAAACTACAAGGGTCGACTAAGGTATAGATGTGGTCACATAAACTGCTGTCCGGCAGTAGCAATGTGAATGCTAGTACACGGTGTAATGCCGCTGATGTACCGTATATTAAATTCTTAATATATATTGCTTGTGTAAACTTCCTAATTTCAGTACTTTTCTTTAGCTTTGAACTATGTACAATGCCATTAACGCAATGGGTATAAATTTAAGAACATACCATTTCAAACGATGTACTACATGTATCAAAAACGCGAATTGTCGTAAAAAAAAGTTATGGTCTAAATTTTACTGTATAAAATTTTATGTGAAATTGTTGAGATAGTGTTAAGTCCATATTCTTGTGTTACGTTCCCTCGTAATTGGTCAAAACAAGGCTCTTTAATACATGACCGTGTTATACTGCACCAAGTTTCATTACTGTACGCGTAAAAGTATACGTATGAACTTTAGCTTCATACACTAGATGTATGGATTCTCCTGCTAATTTGAGCTATACAACGTGAGGAAAACCCAGTTAATTTTGACGTGTTTTCTCCGCGGTCGATACATTAGTGATATTTGTATACTACAGTTTAAGTAATATTCAAATTCAAATTTTAAAATGATAGCAATGCTAAAAGTTGAAGTCAATGCGTAGTATACATGAAAGAAATTCAAACCCACTTTGATGACAGTGTCCAAATATTTTGTAAACGATAGCAACATAATCATTTATAGGATTCCACAAACAATGTAGCCTTCTTTGCTATTAAATGAATTCAGGAGATGTATAACACCATTTAGTCTGGTTACAGATAAGTTTCAGAGGAAATTAAAAAAAAAAAAAACATTTCAAATAAACAAAATCTTCTATCGAATACATTTTCCTAAAACCGCGGGAACCTGACTTTCTACCTGAATCATCTCGTTTGAGTCATACTAACTCAGCAGATTAATTTTGTCAGAATACACACCAATTTACATTTCACGAGTGTCGATGTTTGAAATTTGCACGACATCATATTTGCTATTTGTGCAATAACTAGTACACTGATAGTTGACGTGTTGGACTATCCATACTTTTAAAGTATCTTATTATGCTTGTAATGTATTAATTTTATAGCAATTTGCATTACACCACGTTTTATGTAGTTTGCCGATGTTCAAATCTTGTAAATCGATGAAGGAGGGACAACTCAAGGTAAAAAAACTTCTACATAGTGTAAAGCATTTTTATGACAAAATAATTACCCAGAGCTACAAATAGGAAGAAAACTTTTAATGTTTGGTTCACATTATTTGTACATTCAAAGAACGAAACTTGTAGTACGGGTAGTTCCGGCAACATATCGGAAACTATAAATTATACGCCTTGTGTCTTTGATGAGTTTAGGAGTATCAGGACCGAAAATATACTATATGTTTTTGAAACCATTCGTGGTATTTGCAGACGTCACAATATGAGCACCCATTCTTATTCGGAAGACACCCAAGTGTTTTTGTAATCAAACCATTTGATATCTGGAATCATAGATCCAAAAATCTGACAGATATTAGTGCTTGGTTGATAAGCCCCTTCAAATATGCTCAAACTTCTTTAGGACAAACCTGAACTTATAGTTTTGCTCCCGTACATCACATTAAAAACTTATCAGATTTTCTTTTTGCTTTCGATGGAACTTTTGTTAAAAATCTAGCCGTTTTCTTTGACACGAAGCAGGGACAAAAAAGGATATCATAATCAAGCTTCTTTTAAATTCTGAAATGTAGGACACATTCGATCATTTATTACCGAGGACACATGTAATCCTTTAGTCAGTTCGCTTGTTACCTATCGCTATGACTACGGGAACGCTTTGATGTACGGGACTAATGCGTACATGTTGTCTTAAGTTGCAACGTGTTCAATGATAACCCCACATAAGAAATACCACCATATGTGCTCACGTCACTTCTTTGGTTTCCAAAATGATATCGTTGTCAGTATTGTTGTGCGCGTTTGAAGTCCTATTTAAATCGTTCTCCTGTATACATAAACATAACCTAGTCAGTGTGAACAAGCCGTCACGATCCCTATCCTGTTGACGTTACAAAATACATTTTTTGCAAATACAGGTCAGTTTTAAAAGAAAGATAAAGTTTGCCTACATATCGTTTTAAAATCATTAGAGAAACAGATTCCACCACCCAACTTGTGCAATACGATATTTCATTAAAACGCGCGATCGACAAGGAGAAATGATAAATTAAAATAAAACACCAACCTCAAAGAGAATGGCGATGACAGCCAATCCATCGCTGTGTTTCATTGCTTCCTGTATTGATTTGTAAGCAAGGTAATTGTAGTTCACAATATGCATCTGTTAAAATTTAAAAAAAAAAACGATATTGATGTTTTGAAGTGCTCCAGAAATTAATATCGCCATCGTTTCATCGTTTTTTTTTTAATAATGAATACGGTGTAAGTGATTGTCAACACATGGAATATGCCGTTGTATAAACAAACATAGAATGCATAATTGGTACATTCAGTTACTATAAGATGTAATTGAAAATAGCATTTTATAAGTGGTTTCTCTACGGACTATCAGATTAAATAAGCAGGAATCCGATGTGCATATTGTTACTGTATGGCATATGGAAACATGTTACATTTCTAAATCCTACTTTGTATTCAGATTGTTTTTTGTAAACTACTTAACTGCCACATAGTAAATGGAAATAACATTTTATACATTGCGTGTGTTCTCTTTTCTGGATTAATTTCTATCAGGAACGCCAAAACCCAAACATTTGAAAGTCAGAGATGTATACATACGTAGCAACACTAAGAGCTTTATGTCCAAAAGTTACACAAAAAGAATAGCATAGCCATATTCAGTATGCAAGAGATAATAACTAGTAAATTATTTCCATGTCTCGACTCTGGTTTGTGGGTATTTTATAAAATACTAACCTCCAATGGAAACGATTGACCTTTTACCAAATGTTCCGATCCAGAGGTACTGTCTTTTCCCCAGTGGAAATGGAATTGCATGGTTTTAAAGATAATTCCCGGAAGATGGTTTCCCGTAAGAAACACACTGTGATTTGCTGAATCCACTTTGACGACAGCTGTACATGAAAATATATGATTATTTGGAATAGGTAACATTTATAAGCAATTATTATAAGTCGGGATGTCTTTTGAAAAAGATTAATTTAGTGCACCCATACTGACCGACTTGTTTTTGTTAGCATAGGAAACAGAGCCTTTTCAAAGACAAACGAGAAAGCAACTTATAAAGTTCTTTAATTTTACTTTCGTATATATTATTGATGTCCTTTCACTCAATAACAAATATTTCAGTGAGTGCTTGCATCTCATATATTCCCGTGAACTTGATGTTAAGGATAGCACCGAAACTAAAAAGTCTGCTTCATATCATGATCTTTCCTCCGATATCGAAGCATAAGGACCTCATTAACTTGGGTGTGCTGCTGACACAAAAACTTCTCCGGCAGAGTTAAGAAGAAAAACGAATACGATGCGTCTCAACTCACTAGCGACATCTTTTCGTGGTCTTACATCTTTAAAATGTAAGTTATGCTACTGTTTATGTTAACTGTAATACTTATATCAGTTGTTGTTTTTTTTTTTGGCTTTTTGGCTTTTTGGCTTTTTTTCTTATTTTTTATGGTATGAATTATTGTTCTTTATTGACCAATATAAATTATTTGGAGCGTTGCGCATGTTCATGTACCTGTCAAAAATTAGAAACTCGTCAGTTTTGTTGCTTTCTCTTCATATATGTGATCTGTTTTTGGGTTAATGATCAAGTGCAGGGGCGGATCCATTATTTTCGGAAGAGGAGGAGACTTGATATATACAAATTTTGGAACATTTCATGCCAAAAAATGATATTTTTTCGATCAAAGGGGAGGCGTACGCTTTCTACGCCCCACCCCTGAATCCACCACTGAATTCAGTCACAACTTTGTATATATTTTGGCGGTTCAATGGATCAATGACGATAGTTTTAACATGTATTGTTGTTAGTACATCAAAATTTAGATTTTGTCGTGTGTGCTTACCTGTATGTCCATTATTCCGAAGAGTGAGACTGAACTCATTTGTGTTTTCAAATCCATTAAAATTCATAAAAATAGATTGATCTAAGGTTGGGTTATTTGGTATATCAATAGGTGACTGATGATGTCGGCCACAGTCCGGGTACTCTTTGTCCCAATGGCCTAGTCCTGAAATATCATTAAAAAATAATTTAACGCTTAATACAAATTATGTATTTTGAAAAAAAAAGTTTGCAGCCTGTAATTCAGTGGTTGTCGTTTATTGCTGTATACTAGTATCATATTTGGTTTTCGTTTCTTATTTTGTACATAAATCAGGTCATAGGTTTTCCCGTTTGAATTGTTTTACATTTTGTCATGTCAGAGCCTTTTATAGCTTGCTATGCTGTACCGTCTTTTTGCTCATTGTTGAAGGCCGTACGGTGACCAATAGTTGTAAATATCATCGTTTGGTCTCTGGTGGATAATTGCCTCATTGAAATCATACCTTTTTTTTCTATATTTTCTTGTAGAATGTTTTAATATTCAAACATCATTATATATATATTATTGATATGAAAACCAATTTGCCACTTATAATATTCAATTTCTACTACCATGTCGACCTTCATATGACCAATCTTTAAAACTCACCATGTCGACCTTCATATGACCAATCTTTAAAACTCACCATGTCGACCTTCATATGACCAATCTTTAAAACTCACCATGTCGACCTTCATATGACCAATCTTTAAAACTCACCATGTCGACCTTCATATGACCAATCTGTAAAACTCACCATGTCGACCTTCATATGACCAATCTTTAAAACTCACCATGTCGACCTTCATATGACCAATCTGTAAAACTCACCATATCGACCTTCATATGACCAATATGTAAAACTGACCATGTCGACCTTCATATGACCAATATGTAAAACTGACCATGTCGACCTTCATATGACCAATATGTAAAACTGACCATGTCGACCTTCATATGACCAATATGTAAAACTCACCATGTCGACCTTCATATGACCAATATGTAAAACTGACCATGTTGACCTTCATATGACCAATATGTAAAACCGACCACGTTGACCTTCATATGACCAATCTGTAAAACTGACCATGTCGACCTTCATATGACCAATCTGTAAAACTCACCATATCGACCTTCATATGACCAATATGTAAAACTGACCATGTCGACCTTCATATGACCAATATGTAAAACTGACCATGTCGACCTTCATATGACCAATATGTAAAACTGACCATGTCGACCTTCATATGACCAATATGTAAAACTCACCATGTTGACCTTCATATGACCAATATGTAAAACCGACCACGTTGACCTTCATATGACCAATCTGTAAAACTGACCATGTTGACCTTCATAGGACCAATCTGTAAAACTTACCATTTTGCCATACATGACCAATCTAAAACACTTACCATTTTGCCCTTAAATGACCAATCTAAAACACTTACCATGTAGACCTTCATAGGACCAATCTGGAAAAAAAAACAAACAAAGTGCCATTATTATAAATATCTTGTAACCCTTAAAATAGAATGTTAAATTAATCTTTTAGGCTGAACATATCTTGATATTTCATTGAAGTCACTGCAACAGTTGTCTATTAAATAAACAAAATTGACCATACTACTGTCGGAGTATTAAAACCCAAGGACTGACTATGCTATTTCCCGAAGGAAAAGGAAACATCGAACATCAGTTGAGAAAAGAATTTGCTGAGACAAACATGGATATTACTCTAACGAAATAATCATTGGCTTGCCATAAGTTCCGCCAAGCTTTCATAAAGAAGAGTGGAGAAATAGATGACATTGCACAAAAATAGACTATACTGCTGTGTTTATACAGATGTACAATGTGTCAGTGTTTAAGTGGATTTCTAACACCATTGCACGTTACCAACTTACAAAAATTAGACCGACAAGTACTCAGAATGGCACGTAAAAGAAAAGCTACAGAAATAATTCCAAAGAGGCCATCAAAGATCATATGTAACAGTTAGTTACATAATTCATCAGGCTCTCTGACAGAAGAAAAGCTTCACGATTTGTTATTCTACACAAAATAACATGAAAAAGTTTCAATACCTTTTAAAGATTTATATTAAAATCGCTAAAATTTTCTAACTCCATCCTGCAAAACACAGTGGTGAAAAGATTTTTTTCCAAGAAAACTAACCGAGTGGAACAAACAACCCAACAACATCATAAATACCAATTAGTATACTCCTTCAAATCTTCAATCTCAAAACATCAATTTTAAATTCAGCTATATGTTATTTTTTATATTCATTTTTTCCTATGTTATAAATTGTATATATAATCAATCAATGTCTTGTAAGTAATCCTCCTGTGACATAATCTTCAATTTGTTGAAGGTAGTCACTATATGGTAAAAGAAAAATTATCATTTTATATTGAAGAAGAACATCTTGAAAGCTATGATTTGAATTTTGTCAAGCAATCCATATACAGAGAATAGAAGGAAACTGTACCCAGCTCAGCCAAGAAGCCAACAAGAGTTTTAGGAAATTTTATATAAAGTTGGAATTGTGAAGATGAAGACTTCGTTTTAGCAAAGACATTGAGAGTGGCATTATGATTCATGGTTATGAAGCTAACAAGTACTGTTCAAAGTATTTTTTAACAATTATAAACAATACACGGATTGAGAAATGGTGTTTTGCCTTTTCCTGCTGTCAAGAGACTGTTTCTGGAAAATGTCTTCTTTGCTACAGGAATGTTGTTAAAAATATAATATCAAAATGAATTTTACCATTATTCATCTTGATTTTGAAGAAAAAATGCATGTCGACGTGGAAGAGTCTTTCCAAGACGTTAGCAGATTGTTTTGACTATTTTTTTAGATAAGCCTTCCTCAGCCCAGAAGAAGTATAGCTGATTGTTTCGCTACAATTTGATATAAGATATGCCAAATGGCAAGGAAGTAGAAGCTTTTACTGATTGTGTGTTATGTTGATGCCAGTTCTTTGTTTCGCCATCCTTATAGGCTAAAACTCCATCAAACATTAGACGCATTAACAATGGACCAGATGTATTTCATGAGCACTACAATGAATTGTTTTCTTAGTCGCATCTATCATATGTTTGTATTTTTGGACAATATTGTAAAATTCAAGCCACTAACTTGATCAAATTCCGCAGTACTAATGCAACAGCAGTTAGAAGTAGGCATAACTCAGAAAAGGAAACATTTGCCGTTGAAAAATAATTGAACAAGAGGAGAACTCAGCTGTATAGGTTAAGTTTGTCTTAAGTTACGAATCTAAAACTTAGATAAAATTATGTTGTCTGACTGTATATAGTTTTATGTTTTATTTGCATCCGTTAAAAAATTAAAAATTACTCAATCTCCACCAGTGTGAATTGCCAGTCCCAAGCACGCATAAAGAGGCAGTCGCGTTTTTTTTATATTAAAAAATAAATTGCAGATGCTTATAATTTTTTGTGCCTCGGATGATACTAGATATTTTGAAAAGTAATGGATCAAATTAAATGAGTACTGGCGCAAAAGGGCGCATTTTTTAAAGCGAAAATAGATTTCTCCCACGTAACCTTTATGCCTAAGTGCTAAAGAGGGACGTCCATTTTGCTGTACGGAAGTTATGATAAATACGCCGCCACGTCCGGCTGGAATGGGGACGTGCAGGAAGAGTGACACACTGTCTGCACTTTAAAGACCTCTGCCACAACTATCTATTTTCCGCTTGGGAGGGGGTACATGGGTACGTGGGTGGCCTGTTGACTTACCTATTCGACTTATTGTTAATTTGTTATCGTCTTGAATATGCATAAAGTAAAGCAACTTGACGTTTAGCCAATTGAACAATAATCAAACAATCTCTCATAGTATTCACTATAAATTGATACGATTTTAAAAATTAAAACTGTAGAACTCAAATATCGTATATTCTGTTTACAGTATAACCTAGTGAAGTGATAATTATGATAAAAAAAATAGGCACAGTCTAAACCTTGTCCCTGGTCAAATAATAAGTTAAACCTTTGAGTTTCTAAAGTTTTGTGGAGGAAAAAAAACTTTTTTCGTTGAAAATTATTGTATAAAACTGAAAAAAATAAAAGTTTAGGAATTGTAACCGCAAATTACTAAAATCATTTTTTAGTTGAACATTATTGAATAAAACTGAAGATTCTAAGTTAACACTTATTGGTAAAACCATTTAAAAGATTTTTTACGGATATCCAAACTATGTTGGAAATCTTATTAACAATGGGATGTCTCACCCAAATTTTTGTATTTACGTTAATAATAAAATTCGGAATCATTCCCAACTTGACATTTCATACTTCCAAAGAGGCGAAAGATACAAACGGGACATTCAAACTCATAAGTCAAAAATAAAAACTGACAACGCCATGGTAAAAAACGGAGAAAAAAAACAAAAGGCAAACAACAGTGTACAAAACACAACATAGAACTAAAGACTAAGCAACACGAACCAAGTTGGGAATGAGAAGAAAAGTCAACTTGAACTAATACATGTAAGTCCTAAGTTGGAATTAAAATTTTCGACTTAGAAATTATAAATGTCAAGTTGGAAAAGAGAAATGTAAAGTTAAAAATAACAAATGTCAAAATAGAATCATTACCAGTCTTTCGTCCTTTTTTATATCTATCAAAGTGTGCTCTAATACTATAGATAAAGGGAATAGAAAACAAATGTGCGAGACTATAAGGTATTTAAAAAATCAATGTCTATTTATCAGACTTAGTGTCCACACCTAAATTGTCACGAATAAGGAAAATGTACATGAAAAAGTAAAGGTAGGGGTTCGGAACTCTCCTTCCTTACCCACTACCCCCTCATTTAGCCATCTTATGAAGCTACGTAAACCAAAATATTTTATAATGTGAAGCATTTTCTAAATTAAAACGAACCATTCCTACCAGCAGGTCAATTGATTTTTTAAATATTGTATAAAATTCATGAATTTATCGTTAATTGTAAGATTTAGAAAGTAGATTCGGTTTTGCTCTAAAATTAGATACATTTAGAACTTAAGCAAATAACCATTAAAAGTTTTGAAAAAAATTATTATGTATGTAATTTGTAAAGGATAATATTAATTGTAAGAAAAGGTATTTGGAAAATATTAGCATACTGAAGACTGGCATGAATATATAAATATTGCTGCCTGGTCTAGGCCAGTTTTCAAGAATGACCCAATCGAGAGGAAGGGATGTTTTTTGACTGCTTTTAATCAGAATAAAGTTCAATCGGAATATGAATATCAATTAAAAGGAAATTTTCCTGTTTTCAAAGAGAGCCATTCAACGTATACGTAATATACAGACATAGTGCCGTATAGTTGTTAATAGTATCGTCATTTCGTTTCTGATAGGATGGTTATTTATCTCATTGACACTAATACCAAATCTTCTTATTTTTTGTAATGGAAACCTTGCAACAGTTATTTTGTTTGTTTGTTCGTTTTGTTTTTTTTGTTTTTTTTTGTGGTTTTTTAATTATTATTTTTTTTTTGGGGGGGGGGGGGGGGTGGTTACGTATTACAAGAGTATATTCTTTCTCTACCCAGCTTACACTCTTTTTTCAGTGTCCGCTTAAGATCAACTGTGAGGACAGAACATACGAGATTGATTGTTAAATTTATTATCGTCCTGACTATATGTCAAATATTTGACACTGGAATTTAATTAAGATGCAAAATAGCGTGAATGTTAAAAACCTAAAATGTGTTTGAAGGCATTCTACATGCGTGTGTGTATATGAAAGTACAATATCAGACTTGATTCGATTTCCCTATAATTACAGCGTTTGATACAAAATCTGTATCAAATGTGATTCTAATCGTACATGTCAACACTTACCATATAAAGGAAAATGTGAAATACATTAATGTCCTTCACACGATTGTGTAACAAAAAAATCAGTTTTGTAAATAAACGATTCATAATTTGGACTCGCTCAATATTTGTAATCAGTTAACATAACTTGCGTCATAAAAAACGACTTAAACTAGTTTAATATAAGATGTTGTGTTTATGATTGAGACGTTTTTTTCCCCTTCAATCCGGTCTTTTTCTTGCAATTTTATATTAACGTGAGTAAAAAATCATGCAAATATTACAGCATTTTTTCAAAGTCTACTTTCGTTTATTTATTTGGTTTTTATAGCATATGGTGCCCACGCTTTATGTACATTGAAGAACCTTTGCACCGACTCTTTAGTGTGAGCATGTGGCCTGTTACAAGGCCAAATTTTCGCCTGTACCCAACATACCATCTTTTACCCTTGGCAGTTTAAACCCATAATACCGGTGGACTCACTTTGATTAACAAACCTATTGGATAAATTATTGCTCGTTCTGAATATGCCTGAAATATTTTTTCACTGGATATTAAGCTATCAGCAACCATTACTATAGCATATGCTAACAATGATATTTTTTTCCCCAACTATTAACCGATTTAAACTTTTCCGAACTGATTTATCATTTTCTTTAAGTACAAAATGCATTTTAACAAGCGAACCAACCATACATTCGCTTGTTCAATTTGCATTGGTCTAAGTTCTTTTTGGGCGCAACAAATTCTTGCCGTTTTCTGGTTTTGCTAATGTGATGGATTTAACAATTGCGACAATGCCCGATAACGTAACACAAAACAACTTTCGCAAATAACAAGAGAAAAATGGTAACTTTACATCGTCTTTAAAAATAATTAAAGAAGCATATTTTACCACTGTGCAAAATATTGCATTATAATTGCATTACATGTATGTTTTTCTTTAAAATAATACAATTTTCTTTTGAAATTGCTACTTTAATTTTTTTAAATTCAACAAACATTAAATAAGTAGCAAAAAGTTGATTTAATTAAACATCTGGCTGTAGTGCATTTCAAAAGAGTTTATGCAAAATGTTTTAAAAATATACCCATAAATCACTTACCACTTGCTGCTGACAGCTGAAATACTAGAAAGAAATAAACAATCATCTTTGCTTGCCGTGTAAATCCTTATCTGTCTGATGCTTAAATCCTTTTTATAATTTATACCAATCAATAAATATCAATTTGTAACATATGTTTTTGTATTCTTTTATCTACCAATAATTTTGAAATATTGTCGTTAAAAAAAGACTGTAATAATTTTGATTACATTGTTTGCGAGTTTAATGTTGAATCGAACTTAAAATCAAAGAAGTCTTATTGAAAAATTTCCGTAAGAACGATCAAAATGTCGTAAACAAAATTGAAATTTAGTTTTCAGATCAATGAGACGTAAAACAAATTACTGGCCATTAGATAAGTAGAATGCTTTTTAAAAAACATTTTCATGGCATGTAATATCTCTCCACGGCCACCCCTCCTTCTTATGCTAAATATTTTGGCTTATTAAACGACATTTCCCTTTCACTTTGCAAGGCAAGTGTTTCCTGGCTGTTGTTATGTAGACTCCCCTTATAATACACAATTCTAATCTAAGGACATTGTCCTCTCGCTTTACAATTATGGTAAACGTTTCTTGACTGTTGTTGTGTGGACTACCCTACTGTACAGCAAATAAGCTATTTGCATAAGATCAGAGAAGAACCATTCTTAGTTTGACAAATCTTGAAACCATTATGCTCACTTGATAAAGATGGGGAAAAAATTATTTGACAATAAATTTTATTATTATTATTTTGTACCATATCCTGATTTTTACTACTATTGTTATTATTGATTAAAAACAGTTACTTTGAGTGTAAAAAATAAATGGTATAAAGAACGTTTGACGAATTAAGTTTTTACATGTTTACTGTACACACATTGCAAGCGTCAATGTAGGTATCGAGGAATACAGTGAAGTTTTTCTTTTAGTCCACTACTTTTGTTACCCGAACTGATTATAAGTATTGCAAATGTAGAAAAAACAATCTTTCAATATAAAATAAGGAGATGTGGTATGATTACCAATGAGACAACTATCCACCCGAGTCCAAATGAAGTATAGTCAGGGGTTTGTGAGCGCTTACAAACATGTTTGACCCTGGCATTCTTTTTGTGCCTGTCCCAAGTCAGTGGTTGTCGTTGGTTCATGTCTGTCATATGTATTTTTCGTAAATTGTATAGTTATAAATTAGGCCGTTGGTTTTCTCGTTTTAATTGTTTCACATTTTTTCATGTATAAGCAACTATATGTCACCGTACAGCCTTCAACAATGAGCAAACCACATACCGTAAAGTCAGTTATAAAAGGTATCGACATAACAAATACAAAACTAATGAAACGATAACAAAAATAACGGCCTGATTTATGACAAAACAAAAAACGAAAAAAGAAATCGAGACAGCAGCCAACGACAACCATTGAATTACTAGTACATTCTCCTGACTTCAGACATGCACATGTAGAATGTGGTGGGATTAAACACATTTGTAAGTGCTCAAACATCCCATGATATGGGACAGTGGTGTAACAACATAACATAAGAACGAACTGTAAAAATCAGTTGGAAATGGCTTGACTCATCAGATTTGCACGAAGCAAAAAATAAACAACTTACATAAAAATAAAAGACACAGAGTACCGATCTAAGAGTACTCGCCGTTGCTGAAAGCCAGCTCAAAACCAATAACAACTAATAAATAAATCATGTTCTCCCAGAATAATGTATCAATCAGTACAATCCTGATTTGGAAAAGTCTTAAAAGATACATACAATCCGATGTGTGTCGTATCACAAAACTGTTACATCAGCAGACTTTAACAGTAGCACGACCGAGTCACTAGTAGAACAGTTGCTGACTCTTCCGAAGCACCTTAGTTCATCCGGGTTTTGAATAATTACAATGCGGAAAAAAACAAAAGAAGCATTGAAATAGTGAACTGATTTTCATCCCCCAAAAAATGCCAGACGATATAATTGATAAGAAACATTATGATATGATATGACCTTTCTGTTTGTATATTAAAGGAAAAGAGACATGAAAGCTTTCTTACAATTTGACGAAAGGTACGTACGATTTTACGAATCATACGTAAGACCTGATTCGAGGGATCCTCTATGTTGACTCTTCAAAATAATGCATATCTATGTGATCATATCAAGGCTGGCATGGTACTAAGATGGCGTTTTGCCTCGATGTTTGCCTTCTACGGACCATTACACTGCATGCAACCGACACAGTTCAAACTTGAATTTTCTCGTGACATATGAATTTCGGGACATACGAGGCAGTAAAAATATAATTAAGCGGGGTAAGGAGATGATCTAACAAAATTTGCTAAACAAAGGCTTTGTCAGAAGAAGAAAAAATACCACTAAAAATAAAAGTGGGAATATAATACATGCTCCCTTTACATTCGTTCGTACCTATCGTTAAAACGTAAGAAGGCTCTATTAGGACGTCACTGCAAACACGTGCATTTCGAAACCACTGAAAAATATATACTCTATAAGATGAACCAACGGAAAATCAACATAATGGAAAGGAAAATCAACAATAGGAAAGGAAAAATCTACCCGTTTATGATAAATTTTGGTATGAGGATTACCATGAGATATTGCTAAATAAAGGTTTGAAAAAGGTCAATCGGTTTCTATCAACGTTGGATTAAGAAAGAGTCAGTTTGGTATATATAATCTAAATATCTGCAGGTATTGTTAAAGTATTTATCAAATTGGATTTCGTTGATTTCTCATGATGTGCAACAAGAGGGACACCTATACACATCAATGGTATAGTAAAATTGCTAATTCCAGGATAAATTGTAAATTAGATAAAAATGTTTGGTTTAATATATTAGTAATGACATATTAACGACGTCCTGTGACAATATCATAAATATTTTTTGCATTAAAATGTCTCTAATGCAATAAAATCATAGTTTTGAAATTAAAAATATTATTTTATGGGTGGTCATATATGGGTTTTATCAAATCTTTTCCTTTCATGAGATAGAATTTTCATATCCAGTGGCCGTTAATCAAATTGTTTCTTAATGCAATGTTCAATTCAAGACTGAATACGAATATTTCTATGACTTCCGAACTTTCATTAGGAGTAACGCCCATCTCCCTCACTTCCCCAAAAAATAATATCATAAAAAATAATCTATTCTGAATTCAAACATAGCTATATGGATATCATTTATGGACCGTAAAAGTAGCATTAACGGTACCAATTGTAATGCACCAAATGCGCATTTCGACAACTAATGTCTCTTCAGCAATGCTCGAGGCCAAAACATTTGAAAGTCCAAAACTTAATACAAACGTTGAAGAGGTGATAAAACAAAAAAGGACTAATAGTAAAGCCAAACCAGGACAAGGAATCAGAGCTGTGAATGAGGGAGATAAGGAGAAACAGAGGGTGAATCATGGTGCTCCGGAAGGGGAAGCAGATTCTGCTCCATATGTAGCACCCGTCGTGTTGCTGGTGCAGGTAAATCCAGTGATCTCTGCATTCGAACATGTCGCAATCGAGGGAAAAGGACGGGATTGTGGTTACGACAAGTGGAACATATATCTTTGTTCATCTGCGGCACAAATACTTAATAACGATCAACAAAATCACGATGGCGTCCGCAAAACATTCGTCATGATTCGATAGAACAACTTATGTCTTAATTGATAAATGTTCGATGGTCTTGTTCCTTTTTGTTATTCTTTTATTATGGAACATATTTTGTTTTAATTGTTTGAATTTCCTTACAACATAGTCACTGCAATACTGTACATTAGGTCTTTGAAGACCCATTGGTGGCCTTCGGCTGTTGTCTGCTCTATGGTCGGGTTGTTGTCTCTTTGACACATTCCCCATTTCCATTCTCAATTTTATTAATATTAGTTACTGTTTCCCAAATTAATCGAATGAATGTATTGTTCATGACGTCGTTGTATGAACTCTTCTATGAAGTACGGCAATCGATTGTATGAATAGGACGGCATGATTTCATTACAGCAGGTTAAAAACTTTGACTTGCTTTCAGGAATGATTTACATTCTTTATTATGGTATATAATTTAATGGGTATTTTTAGTTTCGTGTTTTATTATCAATTATACCGTAATCTAAGAGTTAAGTGCTTTTCCTGAGCTGTAATTTTTGGTTTGTTCTTTTGTGTACGGTTTGTAATTCCGCCGTTTAAGATTTAAAAGAAGGCCTGTTGACATAAAGTCAGGAACCTCGTCAGTGGTTGTCTTAAGTCATATCTTATACTTTTCTTTTATATATTTGGAGAAATTGGTTTTGATAGCAGATCTTTGACGGTTTCTGTTTAATTTATTCACAACTTTTATAGAGTCGAGATATTTTGCGTTTGAAATGTTGTGTAGGCATCTGCGTATTGTTGAAAACTGCATATTGCCTTCTAGATGTCTTTTGGTTATTTTTGTCTGTCTCATTCACGTACAACCCACAACTCAATTTATTCATATTAGATAAACGAAAAGATAATTCAGGGCTGAATATAAACTGGCAGAACAGAAGAAATTCACTTGACTGCACATCGGGAACTTCAATGACCTTTGTTTTCCTAAGTGAATACTATTCTTATTTTCCTCAACTGAAACTTCGGATTACTGTGTAGTAACATTCCAGCAGCGCCTGCATATGGATTATATATCTCCTTGTTGATACGATATTTCAGAGCTTTCGTTTTCCTTATAGAGGGTTTCTGCTTACAAGGAAGCCATTGAACCAAAGATTACTAATGGTAAAGTTGAAGTCATCCATTTGGAAGTTTTACGGGCACCATAACGTGTTGGTTGACCGTTATGGAATATCTGTATCAAAGATATCTACAGAACAGTGGCGACCCCCCCCCCCCTTTTTTTTTTTGTTACGATCAATGCATTTGAATGGGGACATATAGTTGGAACCCCTCCCCCCCTTTATCCTTGGTTGGGACCCCCCTCCTTTTAAAAATGGCTGGATCCGCCCCTGCAGATATGTTCCTATTGTCGTAGCCCTTCTCTCGTCCAATATTTCTCGATTGTGACATCACCAAATTTGTACTTACCATGAACAACATTAAAATCAAAATCAAGGATCAAATCTACCCCCCACCCCTACCCCCTCAAAAAAAGTTTAAAAATTATACAAAGCTTTTGTTATTTCTGTCGGTGCATTAGTATATGTAGGATGATTAAAAATGGGTGTTTAATACTTGAATTGCTCCACGTTTGCAACATTACAATGCCATATAAGTCTAAGGTTTCACAAAATCTATGCTTTTTCGGTTTAAATACATTATTTTCATATACTATGCTTTTAAAATTGCTTGTTTTTATACACATTAGAAGAAACCAAGGTCTACATTCCTGCGTGTTGCAGCTTTGTGATGAAAAACATTGAACATGTTTATCGATTGAAATATAATGAATATATAATATAGCATGACATTAAAAAGTAATTTCTTGATTAAAAATCACAATGTAAGAAAAAAATAAAGGTTTTCACGTTCATGACGCAGACATATGTTGTTGAACTTTTACGTCCTTGTACATAAAATTGTTTTTGCAGTGCATCTAAGGTCTTTTCAAAATATGAATACAGTGAAAGGTTGGTGAACGTCAAGAAACAGCAACTCAAAGACAATGTGATCGATACGGTAGCATGCGGTCTTAACTTGAGTGCATATACTAGTATATATTAATTATGGCTGTAGGTTGCCCCAAATTAAGAATTAACAGTATATATAAAAGATCTGTCATCAATACCAATTCCCTAAAGCATAAATGAAACATTCAGATATAAATAAAGACAACTGCTGACAGATGCTAAGTTGGGACATACACATATAGGTGTGTCATTTTTTTTAGCAACCGACCTTCCTCTTTTGATCTTAATCAGTGAAGTAAGAAAATGTTCATAAGAAAAGACAGGTCAAATTCAAATTATATCGTATAAAAGAACTGTTTTCTTTCAGACAAAATCTTATACAAAAACCAAATAAACAGTGCAATAATCAAAATAAATGATCATGCTAATAATACGTTAGGGACTTGCTGGAATGAATCGTACTACAGCTTTCTCTCTATAGGTTAATGTTGCTCATGCTTTAGTTTTCTGTAGAGTGTTTTTTTTTTGACTGTTGTCTGTTTTTTCGTCGATTTTCTTTTTGTCATGGTATTGTCTGCTTTCGTTGACTTTAGATTTTCAATTATTCCCTTTGGTATCTGCTGCCTTTTATTTTGCAGATCGAGTTTAGTTTGCAAGAAAATAATGTATAGCTGAAAACGTGTAAAATAGAAAATCATTGAAATCATTTATTGCAGACTTACTTAAGAAAACAAGGAAATTGCTCAAACACGTCGTGTAGGTTGGAAATGAGAGATTTTATTTGAAAACGAAAACATCTTCGGCAATGAAAATAACACTTTATTAATTCCGTTCGTCCGAAGGTCTTTTCTGTATTTACCTTCATCTGGAAAGCTCAGACAAAAAACATTTAAAAGCCAAGGATGTATAATAAATAAACACACGAAGAGATATATGACCTAAAGGGACATAAAACATGAAGGTCATCTTTTTGCCTGACTGAGTTGGAACCTTAGTTTCATGTTTTTTTTAATTTAACAACAAAACATTTAAAAAATATTTTGTTAAAAATCATATCAGTACCGAAGCACTGACTACACTCTGGAAATAATAGTCCACCAGCACTGGTATAGACCCAGTGTAGGTAAATAAAAATAAAACTTTATCAATTTCGTGCGGCCGAAACTCTTTTCTGTATTTACCTTCATCAGGGAACGCTCAAACCCAAAAATTTGAAAGCCCCGGATGTATAAGACCTAAACATGTGAAGAGCTATATGACCAAAATGTATCTAAACAAATTCGCCAAATCATCTTGGAACCTTAGTTTTTTAAATAATTTATTAATTTATCAAAGGATAGTTTAATAAAAGTCTGTTAAAATCATTTCAGCACCGAAACATTGACTACTGAGTTGATGATGCAAAGTCCTTTTCAAACGGATTTTGACTTTCACTTTCCTATTTTCATCGACATATAGACGATGTAAAATTTTACAAATGAATGATATTGATTAGTCTAGGTATGCTAAATACAAGTATATTATTTATCACGAAAACACTACATTTTCTAACACGGCCAACTGCCATGAACAAATTATACAATCATCAAGTATCTTTATTTTTGTATCATATATTACAATTAATATAAACAATTTACAATAAAAAAACATATAAAGACGACTACAATAAAATGTTTGTTGTTTCTTGAAAGCAACGAATATTGAACAGCATTGGAGCATTAAATGTTAAAGCTTTTCTTTGGTCGTCAAGAAAAGAACCGAATCGACTCCAAATTTATATCATATATCATATATCCGCTGTTGTTAGAAATTTCATTTGCCTCACGAACAACTTAGAATGTAAATGGCAAATACGATAAAGGTTAATGACAAGCAAAATGTATTAGATAAACATATAAAAACAATACAGTGATGGCGTAATGCTGTTGAAATAGTTATTCCATTGGGAAATTCTGCAACACACATGAAACATGTAATAAGCTAGACATGATCTCGCTCTTATTGCCTTTAATATATCTACAATCTTGACATACATGAACTTCGTATCATTTCTACTTAAGCGTTAGCATATACACCTCCTCTACGAAAGACTTGATTCCCCAGCTCTCCTGCCACTTCGTAAATGCATTCTTCGTATCAATTTTTCGTGAGGAACATGCTTTACCTGTAAGAGAACAATATTAGTATTTTACTACAAAACGAATTATAAGCCTGGTATCTTTGATGAGTTTATTCACATTACATCTCTCATTCATACACTCCATATATTCACACTAGCACTTAATACACTCACCCCCACTGCATCTCTCATTCTCATACTTCAAATTTCATATACACTCACCCTCTCATTTACACACTCACCCTCTCATTCTAACACTCCTACTCATACACTCACCCTCTCATTCTAACACTCCTACTAATACACTCACCCTCTCATTTACACACTCCATACACTCACCGGCTCATTCACACACCCCATACGCTCATCCTATCATTCAAACTCCATCTCTCATTCATACACTCATCCTCACACTAGCATTTAATACACTCACCCCTACTCCATCTCTCATTCTCACACTCCAACTTTCATTTACACTCATCCTCTCATTCACACACTCCATACACTCACCCTCTCACTTCATACTCACTGTCTCATTCGCACACTCCATACACTCACCCGCTCATCCTTACAATCTCACTCTCATTCATACACTCACCCTCTCAACCATACACCCTGTCACTCACATATCTTCACTCGTTCACTCACCCATTCATCAAATACTTATTGTCACGCACACTGTTACTCTCATCCTCTGTATACTTTTTCGGAGAGGCGAATTTTCCTCTCCGTGTGTTATATCAGAGAATCCGAGTGGCTATAACAGTTATAGGGTTCTACTCCTTCAGATTAATCACATAATTTGCGGTATTTCAAAATTTTATATTTTGCAATTATATTTGTATTGAAGAACCAGTTTTCTTTATTTTAATTTGCATTTCACTTGTTAAATATTCTATTACTTTTCTTATTCAGTTAGCCCTAAAATTACTCATATTTGTATATCCTTAAAGAACATTTAACGCGATGAAATAAAGGGTGTTAACTGAGATAATCATTTTATTGTAATTCTACAATATAACAAATATATGGCTTTTAGCACATTACAAGTAGAATATATTAATTCAGTTCACTTGTAATCAGTGAAGTGTAAAGATATGAACATTATCTTACACTATACTTTATTTAATAAGGACTTCTTTTATTGGCTTAAATGGACTTCTTTTACTGGATTAAATGAGACAATTTCAAGTAGAAATACAAATTTTGAATCACCATTTGCAGAAAACTGAGAATGAAAAGGAGGAGGAATGAAATCTTGCCGAAAAAACGGGTTAAATTTTCTATCTCACTGGAAAAACAAAATGAAATAAATACAAACATTTAATACATATTACAAAAAACTTCAAAAAAAGGCGTGGTTTGTGAACACGCTATATTTACAATGTGCATTATCTTTAGCAATTGACTAAGCTTGAAGTAGATACAATACAACATAAGAAAGGGTTGCGATTACAAGAAAGTTTTGAAAAGAATAAAAATGTCTAAGTTATAGGAGGTATGTAATTCCTTGTAAGCTTAAACGAACATAAAATCTCGCGTATGGTGTTCTGTGCATGTATTGGACATTATTCTGCTAAGTCCAAAACAAACAGTACACAAATATAACCGAACTAAAACACTGGTAATACATAGAGGATTGTCTAGACTATATTTTTCCTAATCATTAGACATACAGATATTATGGCTGAATATAGATACCTGTCGAATTGTTTTCTCAGCATTGTTTTACTTTTTATGTCATAACAATTATAAAGAAGGATCTATTATAAGATTCCATTAAACACGTTATCAGTTCAATATGATCATTAAAATAAGAAGAGAAACAACTTACCGAAATATTTTTTGACATCCTGTTCAGTACAGTTAAATGGTGGACCTGCAATGGAGTAATTTGATTTAAAAAATACCTGACTTATAATTTAGATAATTTTTTCTATTTTATTGTTGTAGGGGCTTCGGTGGCCGAGTGATCTAAGTAGTTCATCTACTGTATCAAAAGCCTGTCAACACTGAGGTTGAGAATTCGAATCCCGCATGTGGCAGGTGTGTTCAACTCCAATCTTAATTTCCTAGGATTATCTGTTTTCCTGCAAAAGGTCGGTGGTTCTATCCTGACATTCCGACTTCTTTCATTAACCATAACATCTTACCGCCACAACATAGCCAATAGTGCTAAAAGAGGCGTTAAACACCAATAATCAATTAACAATCATCAATCTATTTTGTTGTAGTTTATTTGAATTTACTTTTTTAGTATAGCCCAATTATTTTGTCAGAAAAATTTACAGGCTATCAGTATTAAACATACATCAATTATTTTGTCAGAATAATTTACAGGCTGTCAGTATTAAACATACCTCCAAAAACATGGTTATCAACCAGAAAGCAGTCCAGTAAATATTTAGTACTCTTCTTCAACAGGGGAATAGTAACATTAATATACCTGTAATGAAAAAAGTATAACAAAAATACCGAACTCCAAGGTAAATTCAAACAGGGGGAAGTCATATAAAAACTGGCAAAATCAAACGTTATCTATACCATCGGAGCGAATGGAAAACAGCTGTCATATTCTTGACTTGGTATAGGCATTATCCGAGGAAAACGGTGGGTAAAACCTGGTTTTATAGCTAGCTAAACCACCCACTTATATATCAGTTGTTTATAGTTCTGTTATATTCACAAAAATGGGCAAGCGACCAAAACAGACATAATAGGTAAATATGCCAGAACTGTGTAAACATTCTTCCCAGACATACAACACAACTGAATAAAAAATTCAAACAAACATACAAATAAATCTAACAAAAACGTCAACAAAAATGTTGTAGTTGATAGGTAATTAGACAATGACGGTCAACTAAAACTAGTTGATGGTATATTGACAAAGACGCCGATAAAAAAAGTTTTTGTAGTTGATAGTATATACCATATACAGTATACACTTTGAAATTCTCGTTTAAGTACAAAATAAGTAAAATATAAATACAAGGGTAAACAAAATGGAAACAACACTGTGAAAACCTCTTGCGTCCGAAACACACGTCAGGGCCTACCTGCACCAAGAACGCCCAAAGTAAAAAAAAACACGATGATGGGATGCATAAATACCCTGTCACGTCAAAAGTCATACCACAAAAAAAACCGTAATAACACGAAGACAAATAAAAAGAAATCTGTAAAGTAATAAAAAGACACACAACTTCAGCACGCATTATCAATAACTCAAGACCATCTTGCAAAATTTATGACTTAGACACTGAATATTTATTTATTAGGTCTTGGTACTTTCCGATGAACTTTTTGACAAAACCCTGGCTCATTGTTTTAGAAATAGCAGGACAAGTATTAATCTATAAGATTTTAAAGTATCGATATGTAATGTGCTTTAGAATTAATTAATTAATAAGAAGAAAATAACAACAAATATGAACATTTGTTAACGTTTATGCGTCTTTGCTATTTCCAGCTTTTAGCTTTGGGCGTCGGAATGAGTTGAATTTGTTTTTTAAATTCCTCATTTGACGCATCAAATTATATATGTTGGATTGTGATGAAAGATGAAAATGTTCATTTTCATTTCAACTTTAACATGCAACAATATTGTGGGTGTATAACTTTTGAAGCTTTTAATTGGATTTTTATTTTTTATTTTTCGTATCTATGTTTAGTCGCTGTGATTCTTATTTCTAGTCTCTTTGCGCATGTCACATCCTGCAATATGGTTTATCCTTGTCTATCTGGGTTGCCCTAAATCGAGTATCAAAATTTCCAGATTTGGATGGGGAGATTGTTATTCTGTTGGTCTATAATTAGCTTTCGTTTAAACTCAAGTGTTAGCATATTTACCTAAAAATCAACACTCTAATATTTCTGAAAGAGGAATTTTTGTCAGAAAAGTTTATTGCCAAAATATTTTTTTGCGGAAAGGGGGCATTGCATTCTTTAATTATCAAAAAAAGCTATAGGTGGCACGGTAGTATTTCCTGGCCCATAAGGGATAATGATGGCCTTTTTAGAATTTTCACCACTTTCTAACACTGCCAAAAATTCTACATTCACAGTTAACTGAAGTACTTTCATTTTACTATTCAGAAATGAATTTGAATATGTATCATGACCGTTTACTTTTTTGCTATCTTTAAGAACCTAAGGCCACTAGTGCTTTTATGTCTTTTATCGTGCGGTGAATACAAAATTTAAAAAAATTCTCAAAAATTCATTTTCATCTGTATGTAAAATTATTTCATATTTTTCTACACCTGATTCATCCCTCAGTTTGGGAGAGTATGTTCAGTTGATACTGTATTTTTTGTCCAATCATAATGTTCAGATACATTGACTTAAGTAGGGTACACAAAAGAGCAACCTAAATTCTGGAATGCAAATACTACCGTGCTACCTATAAGTGAACGCATTCTTTTATTGGTATACTGATGAACTAAAAAATAAGTCACATTAAAGATTTGAATTGTCGCCCGTTGACCAAAATATTAGCCAGTTTTACAGTTTTCTATCTAACAGAAACCATTTTGGTAGTAAACTCCACCAAAATTGATCTTAGATAGTTTGGGCTAGTCCATGTCGAGTGTTATGAAATTATTTTTGGAAACAAATTCAGTGTACACAGATTAGATTTGTAGCTCGTTGATGTTCACGTGAAACTGGATAAACTCCACCACACCCAAAAAAAGGGGGAAGAAACCAAAGGAAGAAAGAAAACTCATAAGTCGAAGATAGACAGACAAAATCATGACAAATAATTGTTGGTTGTTGGTTGTACGTCTTCATTTTTTTTGGAAAAGGGTAGGGGGGTGCTCCGATGTAAGTACGGTTGGTTGGGTTTGTCGTACTGTCCAATATTTTTGGTAATTACTGTATTAATATTGTCGTATTGCAGACTTTAATTCGCATGTACCTAAAATGTACTAATGTTTTACTATGATCTGACAACGATGAAATTTGTGTATTTAATTTAGCTAGGCTATGATGTTTTAATTGGTTTGAAAATGCTAACTGAAAAAAATTCACTAATCAAAGACAAAACCATGGCTAAATAATTGATACATTCACAAAAGGCATCATGTATCACATTTTGTATCATAACAATTAATGAAATATTCAGATATTTTAAATCTATATTTTTTAAAGTACACAATGACCTATATTGACTGTGTAACTTCCTACCATTAAAGTTATTATTCTCACTTACTCTTGACGCATGTGTGCACCAACGGCAACAAAGGATCCTCTATCCCAAACACAATCAAACGTTCCTATCACATTGCTGAAAATTACATGAAATATGTTTGAAAAAGAGATCGAACAAAGTATAAAAAGTGCACATTAGTACCTCACAAATGTGCAACTCGATTTACCCTAATACTGCCATATATTGACATTAGACTATAGTTAGGCGTAAAAGAAAATTTTTTACAAGCAGCACTCATGTGAAAATTTCAACTTTTTTTCAAAAACACTGACATCTGATTATATTTCTTAACTTTGTTTACGCAGTTAACAGACTAGTATACTTAAACATAGTTATATGACTGAGTGTTGATTTGTATAGTGGTTGGAGCAGAAGACACACACAGTCTAGCTCCTGTTGAAGCTCATGCGGTTCTCTGCTTTTGTTTTTTTACCTTGATTTGTATCGTTTTAATGGATTTATGAGATTTGAACATCGGTAAAATGCTGTTGCCTCTATTTGTCTTGAAATCAGACGGTTTCTTGTTATATATTCTTTATCACATGTACATCTACCCAATATTTCTTCCTCTTTTCATTGGTCATAATATACTATTAATTATCACTTAATTATTTTATAAGTTAGATTAATTTGGGAAGTAATATTCAGTTGTTTTGAGCTTTTAATACATCATGCTCACCTTGACAATTTAAAGTAATCGCATCTGTATATAGCTATTTTTCTTCCATCTGTGGCCTGAAATTCAAAATGTTAAAAAAAATAAAGGGTATCATATATCTATCCTTAAACTTGTTGGCTTGTTTTATTTTTATTATTGTGTATGTGTATATTTAATATAAAAATAAAAAGATGTGGTATGATAGCCGACGAGACAACTCTCCATCAGAGACCAAATGACGTAGAAGTTAGCAACTACATGTCACCGTACGGCCTTCAACAATAAGCAAAACCAATACCGCATACCAAGCTACAAAAGGCCCCGAAATGACACAATTTAAACGAGAAAACTAACGGGCTGTTTTATGTACAAAGCAATAAACGAAAAACATGATATATTCAGCAACATATGACCACTGAATTTATGTTTTCTTCTTCTTGTTTTGAATAGAGCATTTCCTGTCTATAAGATTATATTTAGAATCGTATTCATAGAACTAGTTTCGTATGTACTTGAGAACACTATTGAAACAAGGCAGTTTCTATAGGAGTTTTTATTCAGCGCAGTAGTAATCGTTGAGCTGTAATACTTACTTTATAAAGGAGGCCGTCAATGCCTTTAATGGACTCTGATGTGTATGGAATATCTTGTTCTTCAAAGAACTCTCGACAGCCAAGATCAACGCCTTCACAGCCGACCACATCATGACCTTTATCGGCTAGCCTAAAACAAGCATAATTCAAATATGTATATACCAGAAAAGTAGCAGGTAAAGGGGGAATACTTTGAATAGATTCATATTAACACAGAGCACTGTGACATCTATTGAGATGGAGTAAGCGGCCCTTGATAAAAGATGATAAGTCCCGGCTTAAGAATATTTACAATGGTGCAATTTTTAAACTTAAATCAAGACTTTTTTATATTTTACTGATGAAAGAATAAATGATTTAATTGAACAAAGCAGTCTTTGCTCTAAAATACCATGTATTTAGCGAAGAAGCTGTAAAAACCAATCGTTCCTGGTCTCCGTTAAAAGTGTTTTTCCTTGATATAGTTTGCTCTTATCGACTAGCTATATGAAATTTTAGACACAATAGGCATTGCCACAATACAATAACTTGTTTTTGTTTTTGGGATATTATGTTCCAAATGTTTATTATTAGTGTGCAAAAAAGTGTTATGTGTAATTTTCATCAAAATTTATTGTAGTTTCTCACTTCATCTTTATGATTCACGCGCTTCCATAAATGTAAAAAACGGCCTAATGACGAGTTGCTTTCAAAGTTTATAAGTATATATGACAAACTCATGGGGCCCTGTATTGAACCCGTGGATAAATACAGTAATGCGAGTACTATATCTTCAATTCATAAGTCGAACAATCGAAGAAAATAAATCAGTCCAGAGATATTCAAATGATTCAAATCATATCCGTACTGTATAAGTCAAGCAAAAATTGGCTATATGATAGTCAAAAGCGTATAATAGTGCATCCAAAATTATCATTACCTTGCCCTTACTAAAAGAAAGCTAAAACTAAATGCATTCTGTTTAAGCGTTCTTACTGTTATTGATCGCAGTACTGCTAAGTCGATTTCATTCAGCAACAAAGCAAATAATGTAGGAAAGTATACTTTTTTATATAGATATCGTATCTTATAAACTTACCATTTCAAATCAATAGATTTGCCGCACAGAGGGAGAAAGATCCGCAGAGAAGATTTTCCATCGGTTAAAGCGTGGTAATGTTTTTCTAACATCCTATAAATAAAGTATGATCGTTTTGAGATTATCAGAACAAGATCATTGTTTTACTTATTTTAACAGATTTTATGTGCATAATCTTAATAAATATCGAATGCTCAAAACTGAATGATGCTCCGATGATATTATCTAGACTCTAAATTTTTTTTCTCTGTGAGAGTTACAAATGCAAAAGAAAGTTAAGATACCTCTTAATGCAAAATTAGATAAGATAACCCTATTAGATAAACCCCATTATTTTGCAAAAACAAATTGAATAAACTTCACATGTTTTATTACAAAATTTAAAATGATACTTGAGGCTTTTTTCGTAATGCTATCAAAGTATAGATTAGTACATTTTACATACGGGTGAGCTCGTGAAACATGAAACTGTGTCTGTGATTTGTTCCATCTCTCTCCCCAGTCATCTACAGACATATCAGTGGTATCTTCATAATCTCCAAACTGGTTTAGTTTTCTTGAAATTTCCATGGCTGTAAATACAAATGTTATACTTTACTAAAAGAATAAAGCAGATACTATTAAATTCCAATGTTAGAACTGCTAATGTAATGTATCTTCCTTATATTACTCTTAATTGTATTATGTATTTTCTACAAGTATAAAGTTTCTGAAAAAGTTTGCGTGACCCCATCAATCACTTTGTTTACTAATTTTAAAAGAGTCAATACATTAGTTTTCCGGTGTTCTAAATATAACCGGAAGAAAAGTGACATTAGGAAGTGTATGGATACAACGATACGAACTCATGTGTGAATTTGCAAAGTGGGATGACATGCAAGCCACAAGAGCGTTCACATGTTTTATTGACTATCACGCGTTGGCATGGTATATGTTACTAGACGCCGAAGACAGAAATGGTAAGGAAAAATTATTCAGTAAATTCAAGGAGCGATTTGGGAGAAATGGTATGGAAAAAGTAGGATTTGGAAAGAGCGGCCAATCAGAAACAAAAAGACGATGAAACCGTTTCACAATTCATATCTAGGATTGAGAAACTTTGTTTTCTATCTGGTCAAACGGCAATGATGGAGCGTTTTATATATCGTGGACTTAGACCAGAGTTTGTTGTTCCGTTTGTCACCGCAACCGGTCTAAAACAAAAGTTTTCAATAAGTGAGGCCATCGATGCTGCATTGCTAGCAGACATGACCATTCAGTTGAAGTCGAAGTCACCAGCGCTACTAAGGGCAAACCTGAACCACAGAACCAACCCAGAAGTGATGGTAAGTGTGATACATACTGTCATAGTTACGAACATTTTGAGAATGCACATTTTTACGTCCCCCCCTATTAATGTACTTAATCATATTAATTGGCAACAGAAACGCCCCAAAAATGAAATACTTCAGCAAAGGAAATCAATTTTTATCATAGTAGTGCTAAGTTCCACCCGTCTCATAATTCAACCAAAGACAGGTTCATGAATTCTAGATATAGCCCCCCTAATCCAAATATTGTAAATCTTTTTGCAAATACAGGTTGTTCACGAGCTGATTGTAAAATTAATGTAAGAATAGGTTCCTCGGTTATACATACTCTTGTCGATACCGGTGCAGCTGTATCCGTTATCAATACCAATACATATAAGTTATTACAAGTAGATAAACTTAACCCTGTAGATAATTCAGATTTGTTAGGTGTACGTGGTGTAAATGACAATTTTATCAGAGTGCTAGGCAAAGTTACACTGCCCGTTGAAATAGGAAAGCTCACTTTATTTCACGATTTTTATATTTTGGATGATGTCAAGATGCCACTTTTTTTAGGCCGAGACTTCATGCATGATCAAAAAGCTGAGATAAGTTTCCCAAAACAAGTATTATCATTACAAAACGGAATGACAGAAGTTTTTTTACGTCAGGGCCAGGATCGGGATGGCACCAACAATTTTGTTCGTACGCTATCCGATGTTACATTTGAACCTAGACAAAGAGTTATTTTTTTCTGTTAAAATAGATAGTTTTAGCGAAAACACATCGGGAGTAATTGAACCAAATTTTTCACTTGTTGGCAAACACAATATTATGGGAGCACGGTGCTTAATACAAACACATAACAACAATTGTGTATTTGAAATCTTAAATCCTACTAATGCTGTAATAACACTGAAACAAAATACAATAGTTGGAAATTTTATTAAAATTCAAGATGATAAAATCTTTTGAGAATTAAAAGAAAATTTTGAGTTTATAGATAGTATCAGAACTGGCGAAGCTTTTAATTCAAATAACAATTATATCAAAATTGCTACCGAGATGGGTATTGATCTCCGATTTAAGCGAAACACAAAAAAGATCAGTTATTGACTCTGTTAGGGCAATATAGGCAAGCTTTTGCTAAAGATATTACCGAATTGGGCTGTACCAAAATAGGCAAACACATCATAGATACAGGCGATGCAAATCCAGTCAGACAATTTCAGTACCGGACTACACCAAAAACAAAGGAAGAAATAAACACACATTTGGACGGAACAAGGTATTATTCGGAAGAGCATGTCACCATGGAGCAGCCCTATCTTACTAGTAGAAAAGCCCAATGGCGAGAAGAGAGTATGTGTGGACTATCGCAAACTGAACCGTCTCACGAAAATCTACACACAATCGCTCCCGAACCTTTCTGACGTCCTAGCTACCCTTGGGGAAAAGCAGGCCCAGACATATAGCGTCTGTGATATGCGACAGGGCTTCTGGCAGCTGTAACTTGATGAACAATCCAAAGAAAAGACTGTTTTTATGACGCATCGAGGTCAATACGAGTTCAACTGACTTCCATATGGACTAGCAAATTCGCCTGCAACATTCAACATGATCATGAATGAAGTTATCCGGGATCTCAACTGGAAAAGCGCATTAGTGTATGTTGAAGACATCCTTATTTACAGTAAGAACTTTGAAGAGAACCTTTGTCACTTAGCAGCTCTATTTGATAAATTAATCGAAGCAAACCTGAAATTAAAGCTATCGAAGTTTCAACTCGCATGTAAAGAAGTCCAATACTTAGGCCATATTATCACCATAGAAGGCATAGCACCAGAGAAAACAGCATCTGTACAATCCTTTGCAGCGCCGAAAAATGTTAAAGAAGTATGTATGTTCCTTGGACTATGCAATTATTACCGGAAGTTCATACACAACTGTTCTAAAATAGCTTCTCCCCTAAATCAGATTCTACATAAAGATCACCAATTTAAATGGACAGACGAATGTCAGCGCTCGCTCGAAACCCTCAAGACAAAACTCACATCAGCTCCCATCCTAGTATTTCCGGACTTTAACAAAGAGTTTATTCATCATACCGACACAAGTGGTACTGCCATAGGATATGTGCTAGGCCAACACGACAAAGACAAGAAACTCCGAGTTATTGCTTATGGTTGGCGCATGCTACGTAAACCAGAACAAAGATGGGACGTTAAAGACAGAGAATGTCTTGCACTGGTTGTCGCCATTAAACAGTTCCATGTTTATTTGGCCAATAACAAATTCCACGTGTATACAGATCATATAGCGTTACAATACCTTCATCGTATTTAAATGAGTACCGGACGTTTAGCAAGATGGTCCATATATCTTCAGACATACAATTTCGAAGTTCACTACCAACCAGGAAAAGATAACTTTTGCGCGGACTTCCTCTCCAGAATTCAGCACCCAGAAAACCAGCGTCAGCGTCGACTCAGTAAAGACGAAATCGAGGCTACATATACAGCAACCAATCACTCCAGAAAAGAAACCAACCAACAGATTAAACTAAATGGTGTGAAGCTTTTCCATTGAAAACTGGAGGAGCCGTAGAAACTGCAAGAGTCCTGTACAACGAAATTTTATGTAGATATGGTCCATGTAGAGAAATTCTTACAGATTTTGGGAAAAACTTTACTTCAAACCACGTAAAAGAAATCTGCAAAATTTTCCAGTTCCCTTAGCTCAATACGTCATCTTATCACCCAGAATGCAATATAGCAACAGAACGACAGAATCGTACATTGGGAACATCTCTGCGAATGTATTGCCACGACAACCAGTCGACATGGCCCGACTATTTATAAGGTGTTATGATGGCTTTCAGAAACACAATACAAACCGAGTCAACACAATATAGTCCATATTATTTGGTCTTTGGAAAAGAGTCTCGGAATCCCATAGACATTGCACTAATTCCAGAATCTACAAAAGGGTTGAGCAAAGATGCAGAGTCAGCTCTAAAACTGATTGTTGATAATCTCGCCCTTGCCAGAAAAATAGCTAAGACAAATATTGAAGCTGCACAACAGAAGTAAAACGCAACACGACAAAAACGTAGAGGAACCAACCTTTTATATATAAGCCAAAGTATTGCTTTATTGTATACACGGACACCAGTTGGCTCGTCGCCTAAACTTCAACGAAAATGGACTGGACCATATTATATTGCGGAACACATATATGTTCTGTTATTACTGTCGATTAAATTTCAAATTCAAAGTAAAAAGCTATGACGTCTTGTACATAACGACCATCCATATTTAATAAAGCGCACACTTGATCAAGCGTCTTCGTGAAGGGTAAAAGAGTATCGCACACTTGATCAAGCGTCTCCGTGAAGGGTAATAGAGTATTTACCATAGAATAGAGTAAAACATTTATTTCCCGTGCTTGAGGGAGATATGAAGATTTGTTCACACAAGAAAAATTATATTTCACGAGGGCATCGCCCGAGGGAAATATGACTGTTCGAGGGTGAACAAATCTTCATATCTCCCTAAGCCAAGGGAAATGAATGTTTTATTCCACTGCCTATACTTTTTTTTACTTCTGAACATAAGATATTAATTTACATAATTGTTTTCTTATTCGTTTTTTTATAACTAAACACAACATACACAATGATATTCAGTATCGATTAAAAATTAATTATTTATTCATTTCTGTTTGTTTTTAGATCTGAAATAATTTTCAAATACGAAATTACTATACTATCTTTAAAAAAAAAGATTAAAACGTTTTAAAACATTAACCGCGGGTAACGTCGCACAAGGCAATCCCAACGTTCAGAGAGGAATATGATACTCAGAAGGGAATATGAAGTTTTGTTCGACGTCACGAGTGATAGTTATCGCTATCAAAATCAGTATGCAGTGGAATAAAGTGAATTGTCTCCCTCGTATTAACAAATCAAAATCTGGCATTTTGACATGAAGTATAATAATAATAGATATATTTTATGAGAACCTTTTGTAATGTTTTAAGACCCTTAACTTTCAATTAATGTATGTTTTTTGTAAACTGTTGCTTGGGTAGTCTTCCTCTAGCTTTCAAACTGTACACTTGTGAATAAATTTCTATATACTGTATACGGTCTTGCGTTTAAAGCAGCCACAGTGTCGATTTTAATGTAACGTACTGAAATTTACGGGATTATATAAACTCGAAAAGGTATTCGGAATATTCCGTTCAAACGAGAAAACCCCGAGGAAACCGCATGAACCAAAAACGGAGCGAAAGTAACTTGACTGTTTATGACCCCTCCAGTGGCCAATAGCCTTTCGGTTAATGAAGCGATCGATAGGGAGGGGAGCAGATTATAACGGCTGCATAATTTTGGTAAGAGCAAAACCGGCTGCTTCAACAGGGTAAGCGTCAAATGATATACATGTATTTCTCGTAATGCCAATCCATACGCATTAAAAATACCAATATAAGGAATAGTTACTGTTTGCAATCTTTCAGATCAATCGACTTTTCTGGTGTTGAAAAATCTAAGACCGCGAAAACATGTCGCTCGGGAGTTTAGACACAGACACATCGTATTGATCAACCATTTTCTATCACGACTATGAAACTGGTGTAATGTCGATTTCAGACGTTCCTCCTTATAACTGGATCAATGAATGCTGTTCAAAGTACTTATTCTGCTAAGATACATGTAGCTTCTTACAATCTACTATTATTTTGTGTACATTTCATACAGCCCCGTCAAGAATATACCAGATCGAGGCAAAGTAAGGTCATAATACAAAACATACAGGGATCATTTTATGCAAACTGGAAATAAATGAATCCTTATGATTCCCTCAAAATACAAGACGCAATAACTTCACAACAGTATTCAGTATAAACATTGTTTATACGCCTTTTAAGCCAAATTAAAGATTTTACCTTATAAAAATACCGCAATGAAATATAGGTGTCAAATACCGATTACAAAAAAAAGATTCTGCAAGCGGATCCGAAATGAGCACGAATGCCTATATTCATAGGTCGTTTTGGGAAAACTCCTCGCCTTTTGAGGACAATAACTCCTATAAGTAGTAGACTGATGAATTCTGTCATTTTGAAAACATTACTTTAAGATCTTATATTGCTGAACATTTTTGCTGTTTTCAATTTTCCTCTATGTGATATGGTTTCCACCAAAAACGAAAAGATCGGCAAAAATCCTTATGAAGGCCAATAATTCCAATAAGGAGTCGACAAACGATTTCGGTGATTTTTGACTAAATTGTAGATCTTGTCTTGCTGGCCATTTTTGCTATTTGAAGTTTATCTTTATCTAAACGTTTAAACGTAGAAAGTAGTAAAACTCGTCTCTTAAGAGCAATAACTCCTTTAAGGAGTCGTGTTGCGATTTTGGCCATTTAACTTATTTTTTATATCTAGTCTCGATGATGATCTTTAGTGCTGTTCAAATCTTTCTCTCGGTCTATAACAGTTTTCAAGATAGGCCTAAAAGCTAAAAACGTAGGAATAAAGTCGTAATTGTCCGTTAAAGTCAAAAACTCATATCGGGAGCCGTCTGAAAATTTTGTCAAAATATACAGTAAGTAGATTCTTACATTCTGAACATTTGTTTGCTGCCAGATTATCTCTTTCTAAACGGTTTTCCATATATAAGATACTACCTCTATGTTATTCCTATGTTCTTTTAGCCATGGTGGCCGTGTTGGTTGGTTAGCGCGATTCATCGGATATATTTTTAAATGAGTTACCCTTTGAATGACCGTGGACAAGTTTGATTGCAATTGGCCTGGTAGTTTCATAAATGATTCTTGTGAAAGTAAACGGAAGACGACGGACGCCAAGCGATGAAAATAGCTCATATTTGTCCTTTTGGCCACGTGAACTTAAAAAAGATATTTAGTAAAGAAATAAGAAAGATAGCACGCAAGATAAAAAAAAAAGGTATTAATGAAAAAAGGCATCAAAGCAAAAGAGCGTGCATTAGATCTTAGGGGCTGATTCAACAAACAAAAGTTTTCATATATGAACCCAAACAAATATTATACTGATAAGTAGTTAATTTTTAAACCATAAGCTGCATGTGTACAAACTATGTTATATTTAAATATACAAATTTTATATTATATATTGTGAATTATCACATCCATTATTTTACATTGTAATTAAAATAAATACTAAAAATCCTACCGTCTTTAAACTGCTAATATCAAAGTAATGTTATTTGTTTCGTGAATCAAATTGAACTTTTCAATCCTTTTTCTGTTATCTATATCTTCGTAAACAATAATCCAAAACCATTTGGGAATTTCATTGGTTGTTTGTCACACGTTGTGAATGTAATTAATTTAAGCGAAAACTAATGAATGTTTTGTGTAAAAATTAATCTATTATTTACTCGCACGTATTTTGGCACGTTATATCTACCGCCAGATGACTGAAAGTGATTCAGCAGTTTTTGAACAGGTTTAAGTCAAGTTGAATAATTATGTTAACTTTAATACATGTACAATGAATAGGAGAAAAATCACCGACTTCCTTTTATATTTGGATTGTCATGATATGACAGTTTTCTATTTAAATTAAATAAATCGAGCGCATCATATGCATTGGTTGAAAATAATCTGATCGAATTTTGTTGATATTTATGTTATTGATGTACGTCAAGATAGAATTTTTCAATTTATTTATAAAACGCACAATATCTTATAAATAAGACGTGTCTAATCTGCAGTCAGGATAACATATTGAATTGCATTTATCAATTATATGTGTAAAAGTAACTAATTTCAAATAAATATAAAATAGGATTTTAAACAAACTTACTAAAAAAATTATTGTATACAGTGAAACATACAACATTCGAGTATATTACATCAAACTCTCATGCGGACGTGACTGTTATTAAAAAAAAAACATTTCCACGAATGCTCTAATAGTTTGACGAGTGACATAACCTTCGCAGTCATTTTTTACTTTTGTTTACGTGTAATTAAGCTTTATTATTTCTTCTTTTGTAAGGATAACGTAGGTAAATGACAAGTACATGCGGTTAAGTCATCACCATGAAGCTACCAGTGCTGGGTTCTTATTACATAAGAGGCGTTATTATCTACAATTAACCCAATATATCACGATGCACTGAACAAAATCTTTTATATAATTTCTCGTTTAACTATAATTTTATCAATAATTTGATTTCCTTAATTTGAAGTTAATGCGACATTAATCCTTAAAATACATTCAATAAGTTAATCTTAATGTTTCTCTTTTATACAGCATAAATCGAGCAATACTATTTTTGAATCCAATTTAATTAAACACTTTAAAAGTGAGATTTAAAGTCGTGATAAAAACGTTTAAACTGGTATTAATTAATTGTCTGATTAAAGACGAAAACTGCCAGATCATAAAAGTACACATGATAAATCTCATTAGATGACTTTGCAGAATATTAAAATGTCTTTTTCTTCAACACATGGTATCGTGGGAAATCAGGTAAAATGTCTACATGGCTGAACAAGGACGACTAAACAATTTGATTATCAATACTGAATTTTCATTTACTAGATCATTTTTGGTGCTTGTAAAGCAAATAAGTAATGAATAATATATTTCAATCACCATGGGTATTGATGCCATCAACTGTTTAAGATGAGTTTATAAGAGTTCATCGAATACATCTTTGCATTTAGTGATTATTCATTTTATAATTAGGTCTTTCAACTTTTCTGTGGAAAGACCTATTGTATTTGTTCTGATTATTTTTTTTTCTTCCGCCAATTTTGTTCTTGCATGTAATTCTTGTTTCGCAATATGTCGCTTGGATATTTTTTATATTGTATTGTACAGTTTATGCGCTTTTAAATTTGACCCTGCTTAACCGAACAATATTCTTTGTAAGAATTATCTCCCCAAACACTGTTTTTTTCTTGTGTGCGCATCTCCTTCATTACCGTAAAAGAAATCGACAAATTTATTTTTCCAAATGGCTCGTTGAATCCTCAGGATGCTTCGGTCAATTTTAAAAGAGGGACGAAAGATACCAGAGGGACAGTCAAACTCATAGATCGTAAACAAACTGACAACGCCATGGCCAAAAATAAAAAGACAAACAGACAAATAATAGTACAGATGACACAACATAGAAAACTAAAGATTAAGCAACACGAACCCCACCAAAAACTGGGGGTGATCTCAGGTGCCGAAGCGATACTAAGACACCATATGAGAGTTAATTCCCCTTTTGTATTTGACATAAGTGATATGTAAATGTAACTCATAAACCGTTAGTGATAAAGACCAGGGTATCTTGATTTAAAATCCTTGGTCACCAAAAAAGAAAATGGTGTCAAGGTCAAAGGTCAAGGTCATTTTCTAAATGTTGTCTATTGCTTGTGTGTGCATCCTATCTTATACTATAAAAGCTAGATATGAAAGAACTGATGCTAAATATTTGTGTTGTTGAGACGAACAAATAGTACATTCAGTCCAAAGTGATCTGATGATATCTTGTAGGATTATTGCCCCTAACATGTAAAAATTTAAAGTTAATCGAATATAACTGAATTCTGGTACATGATAAAGCCATAGTGTCTTTTGCAAACGGTTGGGTGACACATGACCTTGAAAAATATCAACCAGAAGTGACCTTATGCGAACCGGAAGAGGCTATTTTTGCACTTATTCAAGGGAAAAATACTTAAAAACTATATGTTTTTAGAATCAGCATATAGGTAACAAGAGCGCAATTATTTGTTTACATTTTACCGGCAAGTTTTTTACCCCAAGATGGTACTCAGAATAGAATCCTATACGGCTTCTGATTGGATGATACAGGATTGGAATTACATTTAATCGAAAGCTTATCCAATTAGATTAAAAAATGCAGAAAATCATATTCACATTTTACAAAGTATAGAAAATATCTTCCATTTCTGCACGTCGGAGCCATTAAAAATATGCCTTTTTCATTAAGCGAAAAAAATAGACGATCTTTTTCAACTGCATTTTAAGTCAATTTTTGCCGCATGACCATGTATATTTTTTTGGTTGTAATGCAACACTGGCATTTATAGTAACAGGAACTGCTACCCGTTTTTCCCTCTTTTGTGTAGTCTTCGAGGGAAAAAAATACGGAACACCAGTGGTACCCTATGGAAAATGCATTACGAATAATTGCGCTCTTGTAACCTATAATAACCTTTTAATGACACCGGAAATCGCCATCTGTAAACCGAAAGTAGCTAATTATCTCTCCCTTACTTGAATGAAAAGAATATAAAAACCATATATTTTCGGAATCACTGGAAATTAAGCTATCTTATGAAACCGGAAATGACATTTTTTAACCGGAAGTAGCAAATTATCTCCCGTATTTAAGGCAAAAGTATATAGAAACCATATATTTGTGGAATCAGTGGAAAGAAAGCTATTATATTAGACTGGAAATGACATTTTCTTAACCGGAAGTAGTAAATTATCTCCCATAAGTCAAAAGTATGTAGAAACCATATTTTTTTTAATGAGTGTGAAGAAACCTATGATTGGATACCAATACATGTAGTAACTTTGAGTAAAACTGGAACTAGCTTCTTGTCAATTTTTTAGATGTGTAATGTGGAAAGACCTTCAATTGTTCTCTGAACAATTGGTTTTTAATTATCTACTACTTTTGTATTCCCTTTTTTTTTTACTCACATGCAACAACTTGGTAACGACACCACATGCAACAACTTAGTAACGACACCACATGCAAAGACGACAAGACAAACATCGAATAGAAAAACAAAGAATTATGAACAAAAACACCCCAAAGTACCGTTAATGAACGCAAGAGTTCGGAAGAATAAATAAGTCCTCCTTCACTTAAGGCACTAGTTGTATTAGTCATTGCCAATTGTTAATAATAAAGCATCATCCACTAGCAATGGTATTTGGGTATTTTTCTCTAGTCTCACCCTAAGACATTGCCAAATTTATAAACCATTAGTACATATGCTTGCATGTCTGCTGCTTTAATAGTGCATGTAAACAACAACACTTTGCTTTTGCTAGATAAGAGGTAACAATATAAGTATCCCTTCACAGATATATGTGTATGCTAGTTAATACTACCGATAATTGTAACTATTCTATGCAAAACTAACTAAGATATACATGTACCATGTACCACCACATACACTATTTTAAATACTTGTTACATAAAATTTTCATTTCAAAACTGCAGAATCATCCTGAATGTAACTTTAGTTAAATTGAGTAACCAAGAAATGTTAAAGATTCAACTTAGGTAATATTAATTTATTACAAACAGTTTATGGGAGTAGATTGTCAGTGTGAAAATTCAAATGATTATGCGCATTAAGGTAAAGTTAAGCAAGAGTTAGACTTGTGAATTTACAATGAAAATTTATCAAGAGATTGCTTTCCTCGAGTCCTTTGGATGGACCGTTATATGATTGTCGTTTGCATAACGTCCAGTGGCAAATAGTTTAAGCATGTTCAGGACGAGAACAAGTTAACAATAAAAACAATAAGTAGGTCCTGCAATAGAGAGTCAACCAGGATAAAGTAAGGGAAAATTGGAATAAACCGTTATATGTGTACAGCATATCGTATGGAAAAGATTGATATAAAAATTCACAATATTGTCGGGTTTGAACTAACGGTTTTTGCATTCTGATCACTCGGTAATTTACCAATACTTTGATTTTTTTAAACGGTCATAATGACATTAAGACAAAGATCTAGCAAATTCTAGCTGAATTTAGCTTTGTGATATATTGATGATGTTCTCTCAAACACGTTTTATCTTCATCTCTAAAATGCAATTTAAAATGCGCATCTTTTAACTGTCACATAAAATTAGTTTCTTTAACAATTTACTTTTGTATCTCTTTATAAGAAGGTGTGTCATAAAATGACTTTTTTTTAAATAACATCTTATTTTCGGACCTCCTACTCTTTAAAGGTATAATTACAATAATGTTTTTAATAGATATCTTTAGAAATAAAATATGAGACCGATGTTTATGTCATGAGGAAAAAGAACTACCAGACGGTGCGCTTTCCAAATAGTATCAATTTCTGTTAGATATTTTGTTGATAATAAGATCATACGAATGTGACATAACACAAAAAAGTCATTAACTGTGTGGGCAATATCTAAAGCAAAGTTATTAACAACTAAGAATAAAATGCTGATTCACGACACTGGAGAAAAAATATAAATTACATGCGATGTTGAGAAAAAAGAAACCCTTGTTTAAGGCAAATTGATGATTCTTGAAGGAATTGATTTGTCATTGTATCTCGTAAACTGATTTATTACAACATCTGTGACAACGGGTTGTCTGTCTTCTGTCTATTGCAATGATCTTACTTTTTGTCACTTAGGAAACACTTGTGTACACAGGAATATGTATGCACACTATTAGAAAATACCTTATAACATGTATTTTGTTGTACATAGTTGTGTTCCCTCTATAAACAATTCTTTATTAAA